CATGACCTTTTGATAGGCCTTTGCTTAGCCCTTCAGATAACCTTTCTCTACGAGCTATTCCTACGCTATCTGATTAAGTTCTATGTTGATGAAGCCTCTGGTATACTGTCTCATTTGATGTACTTTTCCGCATGTATCGTGTCATGCCCTGAATCAGCACTATCTCCTACTCCATCTGTAAAACCCCACTCATTACAGACAGAATATAAGGAACACCAGTAGTCATAGAAACTAGTGTCTGTCATCCAATCTACCAGTCCTGGATTCCAATCCCCAGTGCTCGTCTTCCAATCTTCCAGTCCCTCAGTTCCTCAGCGCTCCAACTCCAGTGCCCGTCTAGATTCTTTCAAGTGTGTTACTTGTTCTCATTTCAATTTCGCTCGTATCCACCTAGCTAACCACATATTGCCACATATCACATATTATTATTGTACCGTTGTTATTGCTATAAACTGTTATAACTCAAACTCGAGCTTGTTCGCGGCAGTTACTGGAAAAAGTCCCGCGTGGCAAATTCATACGAAATCGAGCATTCCACGTTCATACGAAATCCAGCATCCCGTGGCGGACAAAAGACAAATCCGACCAACTCCCTAATCCACTGGCCAATTTGCACAAAACTATTGTGATCCAGAGTTTATTTTGCGTACAGCGGAAGTGTTTTTACTATATCAAGATGACTTCTAGGTCTTCCTTATACAAAGGATCTCGAGCCGACTAGTCGCGAGACTACGTGGCGCGCCCCCAGGCGGCCGATAGAGGTTAATCGCGGACCAAAAGCGACCTTTGCTTCGCCGAGACGCAAGTGGATACAGGGAATCGACTCCCTGTTCCTGCTGTCCCCATTTGGCATATACTTTCTGTATTTACGAAGTGTATTCATGCATGCGTGCGCGTGTGGGTACGTTCTAGTTCAGGCGGATTGTATTCTACGAGTCAGTTCGGCCCAAAGCCTGCATTCAAGTGACAGGCAAATACATGGGAAGAGGTCAGGAGTCGCCTCCAACAAATAAGCTTCATGTCCACTCTGTTAGAGACTACCAAGCTACTCGTGAGCATAGTCAGCCCAAAAGCTGAAAACAATAGAAGGAAGGGGCCTCATTCCCTTGACCACGAAAGAGCCCCGGATTTGGCGGCGTATGGTAGAACGAGTGCGGAGACGCTGCTAAAATCTCCACGGATCACAAGGGTCCCGTTGCTTAGTTGGCGCATGTGGGTCTTCTTGATTTTTGTTTCTTGTAATGCAATCACATGAAATTTAATTCGATCTGCGGCTACAAGAAAGGCGTGAAGATCAGCGTCTGTGGAGAGTGTTCTGGCATTATACGTGCATAGTAAGAAACAATCTCCATGGCGTGTCGTGCGTGTGTTCGTCAGATCCGGTTAAAACGACGTCCTGCGTAACCCGAGATTTTCTGGCCTCTCACCGGTCGTCTCACGGCCTGACGTCATAGACGGGAGCACCCAGTGTGCGTGCTATTGAGACTGGCCTATTGCTGGTCGTGCAACTTGGTCCTCCCTGGAGTCCTGACGTAACCTTGCAAGGGTGTATCCAGGTCTTCACCACGATGCGGATCAGAGGGAATTGTGTTTTCGGCGACGAATCGTTCGCTCGGTCTTCCTACTAGTTGATTCGGAGGGATGTTAAAACCAAAATCGGAAATGAAAGTAGGTATGTAAAAGTAACCGACCGCCGCTCAAAGACGATGTAGAAGCCGAATCCGCTAACGATAGTAAGAAAAGGAACTATTACTTAGTTGTGAAGATACTTAACATAACCATTCACTACTTGATATCAATCTTTGATGTGCAGAAATTCGATGTGTACGACAAATATCGTTCTATTCCTCAAAGAACCAGGCATACTAGGCTATAAAGATTTCATTTTGCGTTCAATTGGTTGGACGAATATGTGTAGGGGCATAAAAAAAAGGATGTAAACAAAAAGTGGAATCACATCAGGATACTATTCAGCTTACCACTTGCAGTGTTGTACGTCGGAGCAGTTGAAGTGCAACCATACAGTATCCCATTCGCTACAAATATAACATATTGTTCTATATGTCTTAATATAGTATTGGTTCCATTAGAATCTCAGCTAGTGCGGCTCCAAGCAGATAACGCAAGACTGCCTGGATGTGCTTAAAAGAAATGACGTTAGAGGTAGAGCTGTAGATGGTAAGAAAGCATAGTAACAGAAGGTGAACAGTCTCAGGGGTGAGAAGTCACGATTATAGGAGTTCAACACTTGGAGATAAGAAGGCATCCGTAGTTAAGCTGAATACTCGGAGATAATAAAGACTTTCAGTGGCGAAAAGTCTCTTTAAACGTTATCACCTTTTAAGAAGGTCGATGAATGGAAAAAAGACAACTTTTCCTCATAAAAGATAAAGGATAAAGCTCTCGGAGTTGACCAATCTCTGAGAGATGAGTCATGAGACATTCGGCTTCATTAAACATAGTTATAGGTGACTGAATGCGTATCTGGCCCACACATGGACTCGCGGTGGCCTATCGATGTATCGAGGCATTGTTGCAATCCTCTCTCGAACATGTTTTCTATCAATCTGTCGACCCCGGAAGGCTGCATCACTAGGCGAGCTTGGGGCGCGTCGATCGGTCCCATGTTTATTGCATGGCGCTTCTGATCACTTCGCTACACGCGCCACAACCTTATATGTATGTTTTCTCTCATATATGGTGGGACGGCTCGATTATATAGGAATACCAAGTAGTTATGATTCGGTCGGAATTTGCTGCTCGCCTTTGTGTATGCCACGCGGGACTTCTTGTAAGTGGTAGTCACAATGCCGGAAACCTCAAACTTGGGTAATTAAACCGTTTATCATAATTATATAACAATTATGGCATAACAATACAACTGTACAATTAATACAACAATGATACAAGCAATGAATAGGCGCAGCCTGATTTCTTGTGTTCAGGTTGCTCAAGAGTGAAGAGGTTGTCATAAGACTTCGACCACATGAGATCGATGTGAGGAAAGGATATGGTGATTTGGGCAGCATTGCTGTGACCTGAGCTAGTCAGCCGTGGAGCCGTTTATATACCGTTTGGGTTGGGCGGAGTCAGGCTACAATAGGCGGAGTCGCGTTACAGTAGGTGGAGTGGGGTTACAGTAGGTGGAGTCAGGCTACAGTATGCGGAAGGACGGCTACCGGAAACATTTCACAAGCGTTGCAATCTGATAAGGCGATAGTCAAAGCATAGGACTGTAACTGCAGATGTTTTCCATGAGATAACCGCCGAAGAAATGTTAGTCATAAGGTCACCGGAAGCCGTATTCAAAAATGTTTGACATAAGGTTATCAGATCGTCATGGAGAAAAGGTCACCGGAAACCGTATTCGAAAATGTTTGACATAAGGTTATAATTAATTCACATAGAGAACATTCCAATATTCGTAAAGAATGTTCTCTATATCATATGTGCTTAAAATAAGGAAGAAAAACGAAGTACGAGAAGCGATGACAGACTTTACGACAGACTTCGAAAATGATGAAATGTATAATTCAGAAAATTGCGATGAAATAACAGTCACAAATGATTTGGCAACCATGAACTTTTTAACTGCAGCCCTCACAAGCTAAAGGATGAAACGAATAAGAATGAAGGATATCAATTTCAGGAAGACTGTATTTACTAAAGAAGAGAATCATCCAATCCTTAATGCCTAAAGACAGCTCAGGAAACATTTACCAATACTTTAGTGCAAATTTTTTCTTTTATTTTACAGGACCCGCTATCATATCTATTGTGGAGGTCCCAATACCTTATACATTCATTTCGTTCTACTCACATGCTGCTACTTGAGGATTTCCTCTTCGTTATGAATGTCGTAGAATGCTGATCGTGTCGATACTCTTTGGAATCTTGGAGATGCCCAGGTTAAGGCATTCCTAGGTGGACTGCAAGTAGCGCTGGGAAAGGGTCGAGATAGAGCCTTACTTCCCCATCGACTGCATCCCTAACTATTGCCCTTTAGATAAGATGGGTTGTATTTCTCGCCGGTCTCAGTCCCGAGAGCATTTCCGACCTCTGACGTAAAAAATTTCGGAATTTCTCAATCGCTTGCACGACGCTAAGATATTGCTAGTGTCATCTTATCGGCGATGTGTTAGATACTGCTTACGTAGAATACCTCAAGAAAAAAGATTAGTGTAGTCGAAAAGGTGGAAAACAAAGACGGTTGTTCATTGTGCTATTCAATAGATTCTCGATGCTATTCATCAGCATTCGAAGGTAACCGTTGCGTTGAACGTAAGCGGAACGTCAGGAATTAATCGGTTTCTCATGGCCCTTGCCAATGTTTGATGTTATTGGAAAAACACTACCACCAAACCAAAGATGGTGCAATTATCGGCTATCGATTATCATTCCCATGTTATCCAATTCTGGTTCACGCATAACATTTTCTTTAGTAACTGTAGCTTATCTCTAGAATAACGAAAATTTTGTTGTGAAATTGCTGTGCATTTTATGAAGGGTTTTCTTTGCCGAGAAGGGACATTTTGTTTTCCCATAGCTTCCACCGCCTGTTTGATCTCAATGAATTTTTTACGTCGATGGATAAAGGATAAAGCTCTCGGCGTTGATCAATCGTTGAGGGATGCGCCATGCATTCGACTTCATTAAGCATCGTTGGAGGTGACTGAATGCATATCTGGCCTTTACGATGACTCACGTTAGCCAACTGATATATCGAGCTAGTGCTGCTATTCCCAAAAACAATCCCCAAAAACAAATTCCCCAAAAAGTGGAGATTATGCCAGGGCCCGCGAAACCACTGAGGACGGGCCATTCAAGTATTCGAGTAAGTACTGCATCTGAACACCTATAAACCTGACCTAGGCTCAAAAAGTTGACCTGATCGTGAATACAATACTTGTGCTTATGGAATTATTCGTTCTAAAGTCATTCGCACCGTCACACTGGGGTCTTTTCACCTGTTCCTTTATCCTCGTTAGGTATTAGATTCAATGGAAACAACAACGGGGCCCGCCGTTCGGACTGTGGTCCCAGGAGACGCCCTGTACAGTTCAAAGTAAGTGGCCCCGTTACATGCCAGTTACTTGTCCACTATACTTTGTGAATATACGGATTTTTCTTTGGTGATGAATCTGGCTATCCTAGGCACAAGATTATTAGTGGCTTGGTTATGAAAATTATTGCAATTCTTACAGAGAAGGCTACGAGTGTGGACGTGGTGTCTATGAATTGCGGGGCTTCATAAGAGCAGCTCGAGTCGGTCATCTGTTCCTAACAGAGAAGACGAATCCTTCGGTAAGGGCGATACTATTGCGTAACGAACTGAACTATTTTGTTAAGATTTCTGAAGTATCAACAGAATCCTTCTATGATATACGATATTTCTTATGAAGTTTAATTTTTATGGAAGCACAGTTTACTAAATCCTAAGTCCTCGTTATTTTGACCGATGCAATGCAAATCTAGAATGTATCATAGTGTATGCGTTTTCATATGTGGTATTTCAGAACTCTAAAACAACTAAAGTTGTAGAGGTCCTTAACCCTGATGGCTCATTCAAGCACCAGGTGCCGTATATTGGAGCTATCGTTACAGCAAAGGTCATAGAAATAAGCGACAGGTATGTAGACAACTGTGCGCTGTTTATCCCTTGCCGTATATCTCCCATTGTCGGACGTTTAGCAGTGCAAAGTGTATTGTGGTTCGAATTGAGGACACAATCTTACAAAAAGGAGCTACCTTTTCTGCAGTTATTAGGAAACAGGATATGCGAGACGATGTAAAGCTTGATGTGAGTTCACATTCATGCTAGTCAGTAATATCTCCATGATGAAGAGTTCTGAGAAGCCCTTTCTATGTCTCCAATTAGCATCGGAGAAGTGAGTCTTTATGAAATTAATTGGATACTTGGATGGCCAGTTATCACCGATTGTACGGCCTCAGCACAATTTCCATTGTTTCGGAGCTTTGCTGATTCAGCCTCGCGTTCCCTCGAGTCCCGAGGTCAGCCTGGCCAAAGTCTGATCCATGTTGTCACCACCAGAAGCAGTCACCGCCTTTGTGGATCAGAGGGAGACTTGCCACCAAGCAATTAGTTTGTTACCAGGACAGTGACGGATTCTGGTATTGGTTTACTCCTAGCTAGGCTTCCTGATGTAGACACCGGACTCCCTCTCAGCTTGATAGACCCTGCCGGGGTGTGAATCTCCCCGCTGTACATTGCAGTCCGACACCCAGGAACAATTCCCAGCCTACGATGAGGCACTAAACCGTTGGAAGCCCTTGTGAAATTAATGATAATAATTAGGAACAACTACACCTGGTAGTAAAGGACATTGTATCATGAGAGTTTCTTTTCAGTTCCATACTTAATCCTACTTTTGTCACAGTAGGAATATGCTTTCTAAGTTATAACTTCACAATACTCATTCCAGCAGTTCAAAGTCCGAGAATGTGTGCTACCTGGAGACTACGTGATAGCCAGTGTTTTTTCAATGGGGGATTCTCACTATTTGTTATCGATAAGCGATAGTCGCTTGGGTGTTGTAGCTGTTAAAAGTCCGAGCAAAAGCCAGTGGCTTCCACCCATATCCCATGAAGCCAAATTACTAGGTCCACGAAAAGTAGCATTGATACCCAATACATTACCCAAGTTAAGTTCCCTATCCATAAGTTGATAGTATTTACTGAATTTATCTATTGACATGTAATTATTTTGATGTCTTACCACGATGAACTATTCAATATCTGTTTCGTTACTGCCGTGCGAAATCCAAGATTTAATCAATTTCGTAGGAAATGCTTACTGAGGAGATCATGAGAGCAAGTTGTTCGAAGAAATTTTCCTGGGTTCCCGGCCTCTTTTTATTTACTTCCAAACCACTCATTGTTTGTTAGTTGCTTCTAGAAGTGTTGCCAGATCTAAACCATTATTACCACTCATGTAAACGAGGTCTGATACCTAGATGGCCCGCCTACACTGATTGTGCGGAGCCCAGCAAAACTTTCATTTTTTTGGAGTTTTCCTGGTTTAATCACTGTGGTTCCCACGAGTTCTAAGGTCAGCCTAGCCAAAATCCGCCTCAGGTCTTCACCACCCGGGCAGTCGCCGCCTTTGTGTATCAGAGGGAAATTTACCACCATGCGACTAGTTTAATAGCAGGACGGTGGTGGATCCTGGTATTGGTTTACTCTTAGCTGGGCTTCCTAATGGAAACGAGGTCTGATATTCATTGCTATTTATCAAAGACACTAACGTGGGATACTTTTTATCAAACCAGCTTGTAAAAGTCTACTCGACATATAGAGCTTCTGTTTGACCTGAATCAAAAGATTACTGGAGACGATAGGTACTTTTACAGGAAGGCAACTATGTCTTTATGAGCACACATTACTGAAATAACTGGATAACAGCAATACCACTATTGAATGAAACTGATAATGAGATCATCTGATCAATGTAGTATAACTCTCGATCTTGTCACTCCGTGATAAAAACTCGTGAGCTTAGAATCCGCTCAATGTTGTTAGCTAACTTCCGCTCTTGACTACCACGAGGACGGGCATCTAGACAGTTCATCGCTAACTGCGATCGTGCTATCGACGAAATTCGTAAAAGCAGTGTTGATACCAGCGGTGCAAGAGATGGGTAGACCTTAAGGTAAGAACTGTTTAGTTGTTGGCTATACTTTAGTATAAATGAAGCACTTACTGGAATAATATGTCCCAAAGAAGGTGTTATAGCAGTGAAAAGAGCATGATTTCCTGGCATTTGTGTATATTTCAAGAGAGTATTCAGAACATCAATTACCAAGTTCAGCGATACTGCCGACTCAGGAAGCCGGTACTAGAACTTGTTTGAGTAATCTATGTTAGAAGTTCAAGCAAAACTAAGAAAAATCTACTGGTTGTGCTCTAGAAAGAACATTTTCAAGTGTTTGTTATAAACATAAAGACAGAACTGTCGTTCACTATGAATGCTTTCACAACTCACTTTCCGACCAACTTCAGCCATGAGACAAACAGCGAATATTCTTCTCTTCATATCGGGTAAAGCAAGCATCTCTTGGATAAAATCTGTTGCAACAAACATAGAAGGGACGTTCTCGACAAGCGGACGAATCATGTCAATTGGCCATGTCTGCAAAACAAGGGTATTTGTCACAATACAATGCTGCCAAGAAGTAGGCCCTTATGCAGTAAAGGATAAAAGGATAAAGCTCTCGCCGTTGATCAATCCCTGAGGGATACGCCATGCATTCTACTTCATTAAGCATTGTTTTGAGGTGATTGGATGCATACATAGCCTTTACAATGACTCGCGGTGGCCTACCGATGTATCAAGCCAGTGTCACTATTCCCCCAGAGAAGTCTAGCACCAATCTGCCTACCGCGGAGGGATGGTAGGCTTGGTGGGCCATGGGCGTGGGGATCGATTTCACGTATGTATTTCAGGGCGCCTCCGACTACTGCGCCACACGCGTCCTTAGGGGACTTGTGCAATATTCCCATAAAAATGGCGCATTTGAACAGAATTTAGCATATGAAAGCGATGTATGCTTCCGAAACTTTCAACAACATGTCAACTGCTCACCTGGAAAAGAACAAGCTTCATCAGGTTCTTATCTTGGATGAACATCTGGTGAATGAATTCACAAGCCAACTTTCTCACCGCACATCGTTTTGCTATAGCGCAGCTGTCTCTTGGGTATGAAACAAAAGAGGAATGGAACAATGTCGCAAATTATAGATGCCTATCATTATTACAATACTAATACATGAGAAAACTCGTAATGTAAGAAGCTCAAAAGCGTTGATATACCATCGTTCATCCTTCTTGCGTCACTCACTTCAATGAGCACCTGGACCAAGATCGATGTCTGCGAGTGGTCAAAAGCATGAGCAAGAACATCGCGGGACATCCGATCTTCATCACTGAACAAATACTTGTTAAATAAGCGGATTCAGTAGAGTAATCCCCTCGTAAACATCATAGCAATTTCAATGACCTTACTGCAGGGGCATTCTGCATTTGTAACATTAGCTGTATTCTGCACGCTTGATCATAAAATGACACCATTTTCAGGAAACAGTCAAAGTGAAGAGGTGACGAAAAAATCCGCCTACAAATCTCTGATCATACAAAATTAATGTGGTTCTTAGGAAACTATAAAGAACAATCTATCCAATATGTACCTGTCACATCTGAACAGAAGACATGGATATTGATAACACTGTGCTGGTGTAACTGCGGACCAGTTTGAAGTACAATGCTAAAAAGAGTATTGTATTTCCAGATCAAAATTTAACAACTAAGTATTATAAGCAATAACCTATAAGATGGGTGGTTTCCAATATGGCCTACCTCAAAAAGCATACGTGGAACAACGTTTTCAAGACGATTCCATATCCTTACTATTATTTTAACATACGACTGCGGAACTGAGTCAAGAGAAAAAATGAAAGCACGAGACAAACTTGGTATGAGCTGCACCTTAAAATAAGATCTTGTTACAAGAATATTTACTTTGTGGCCTTTGTGGACCAGACGGAAATTTGCCACTATGCGACTAGTTTTATACCAGGACGATGGCGGCTACTCGTTTACTTTTAGCTAGGCTACCTAATAGAAACGCCGAACTGCTTCCCAGCTTCGGAAGCCCTGCTGGGGACATGAATTCCACCGCTGTACAACACAGATCGACATCCAGGAACACCTCTCAGCCATGATGGGGCAGTAAACTGTTGGGGCGTTATATGAATACATGAAAACAAAACAAAAGTTCACCTGATCTGACAGTGATGCGGCATCCAAGCGCTTTACCGCAGCCATTGCAGTGGTAAAATCTAATGAACATAGGGACTCACTCAACTAAAATAATCTATCATTTTTCGGGAAACTATAGGTAACAAACTAATGCATTACATCATCTTTCAACCTTATCCCAGCTCGGCGAGATTTCGCGATTGTAATACTGTCGATCGTAGGCAACATATGTGGAAAGAGCTCCGTTACTAGATGAATCTAAGAAATAGATTGATTGCAACGGTACAGTCAAGGTATCAAACCAACTGAGTCAAATTCAAGAGACAACCTAACCACTAACCAGATGACATCTTGCCTTGACGAAATCATTATAACGCACTTCCATAACGCTCAGTAAATATCGTATAGGCAATCGCATATAAACATCGCTTTGGTATACCTGAACATAGATACTGGCTTGTATATTAGGAGACCGTGAAAGGCAAACGAAGTAGTCCGTCTAAAACTAAGGGACCCAAAAGCAAATGTTAAAAGCTTTGCAGGAAAAACGTAGAATGAAACACGTATTGCTAATATTAAAAATCCATACCCCTTGCTCTTTAGCTGCATCAACTTTTCGTTTATAACAAAGAAGGTAGAGCAAAACAAGAACTCGCGCGGCAAGCTTTTCATCGTCGAGAAGGTCACCGGAAAATACGCTCTGAAAGAAAAAAAATGAGAAATAGAGGTTAAAAAGACACAAAGTCTGCTCGAAAACACTGCATATGATTCATGTCAAATACTTTTCTGTTTAAAGGTTCCAAATGCGCGTGTAGCGCAGCGGCCGGAGGCGCCCTGCAATACACGTGGGACCGGTCCCCGCGCCCATGGTCCAGCAAGCCCTACAACCCTCCTGAGTCGGTAAATTGGTACAAGACTTGTATGAGAGGATAGCAGCACTGGCTCGATATATCGGTAGGCCACCACAAGTCATTATAAAGACCAGCTATGCATTCAATCATCTCCAAACGATGCCTAATGAAATCGAATGCATGGCGCATCCCTCAGGGATTGACCAACGCCAAGAGCTGTATCCTTTTATTTTTCAAACACTCCAGGCAACAGTCATAAGAGTCCCTACCTCCACAAACTGTTGTGATAGGCCAACAACATTCCTTTGTGCCGCTTCAACAGCGAAACGCAAGGTGAGCTCGGTGACTTGCGGATGCATTGGCAGCGATAATTCTCTGATTTGAGCTTCCATCCAAGCCTTGAAAATAAGGAATTGGAAAAATTCTGTACTAAAAAACGACTACACCATGATTAATCAACTTACACTGATATCAACATTGTATTTAGTGAAGGCGTTCGCAGTCATTAGCTCAGCCATAACATGGATAGGTAACCTGTTCCCAGAAGAAGAGGATAAAGAAAGAGTAATCGGAAGACTTGTACATCTGAAAAATGCCTTTAAGAAGATACATCAAACAAAGTGGTACGTACTAAGCCAATTAACCGTGTGGTAAGATCCGCTTCAGAAAGACATGAGTTGGTGAAAAGTGTTTTCCACTGTTCCATTTGTCGCTGGTTTATTACCACCTGTAATGCAACGAGTTGTTACCCACGTAACGTAATCCCGCACGAAGCAACATATACCTTTGGCAATTTCAGGATTTCTGCAAAATATGCACAAATGATATCCGATCGTCCTGCAACCACACCTAAACCAACGTTAAGCAGATCTCTTGCAAACGCTGCACAAAATCCGTTCTCAGTCTTCGTTCGTATCCATTCCAACCAGGCAGAAATATGAGATTCCACTTGGTAGCTCAATGCAACAGGTACGCTAGTAGAACTGGAAAGAACCATAGGCAGTACTGTAGAGAAAATCCGAGTCGAAACTAACTGCTAACAAAGTGAGCGTCGGCGTTGCAATAAGAGCAGCAAGAGCTGTAGTAAGATGTCCTTCATGAGCTATATTTCGCCGGCATATAAAAGATGTGATTAATGTGAGATCTGACGGCGGAAGCTTCATACCGCAACGATGATAAAGGTAGATAATGGACAACAACACGTCTGTCAGTGGTTCCGTTGATTGCCTCAAAAAGACATAAATCGGGGTAAAAATACTTCAATAATGGTCACTTCTTCACGCACTGCCTATTCTTTTTATAGCAGAGTATGGTGTGAAAAATACCGGACCACAGGGGTCTACGGTGAGGATCGAATACGATATTACTCTTTCCAGAGGCTAGCGCGTTCACCATCGCACCGTGCAGGTGTTTCGTTTCGTCTTTTTCTCAGTTATGTTCTATACGATTCATAGAATAGGACTGCTGATAGCGCTTATAAAATAGGCGTGAGAGAAAGACGAAATGAAGGACCCTCGTGCTGTTGTGCTGAACGCTTTAACCCCGTAAAGGGTAAATGCAGGATATATCCTCATCGCAGACACCTGAGGTCCAGAGTTTTACAAATATCTCAGCACCATTGTGGAGATACTTTAATATAGTATACAGAAATCAGCGGTGCCGAATCGTTTGCATAAAAAATGGTTATCTGCCAACAATCTTAGGACAGCACAATGTAAAGATAAGCGCTGTTCAAACTAAGCACATTGAACGCTAAAGCAGCGTTATACTCACTTACTGACAGCAACAGAGATGATATTAAGCAAGCGATTTAGAACAACTGCAGCTGTGTGCTTAGTGGCACTTTTGCCAATTAATGTCGAAATTTGCCCTTTCCTATCCAATAAATGGGTTCGGAGAAAACAGCAAACCTTAAAAATATGTAGAATTAATGAAAGGAGTGGATGAATGAAAACGGAAAAGCTCCAAACCGCCTCATCATCAAGTCGCTCGCATACAACTCGAGTTGCAAACATGCACTCCTTACGCATCTCGGCCATTCGATCCAGAATTGAGTGTGAAAGTGGGGGATTGAGGGCAACAAGCTTCAAATGTAACACACTCTCACATGTTTAATAACGTTTTGCGAAATCTACTACGATCACTGACATTAGTGATAGTTGTAAGGCGAGCAGATGAAATGACTTGGTCTGAGGGAGACATCTCAAGCAGGTATGAAACCAGTGGTAGAAACATCTCAGAAACATTTGCGACACCCTGTTTAAAAGAGCAAAATTTTATAAACCTTGGCATAAATAGTGAATATATTTATCCACATGTTCTTATGTACAGATCTTATTGAGCTGATGCGAGGTTGGTACAATTTGCTGTCGTTGTTGTTGTTGTTGTTATTGTTGTTGTTCAACGACAACTTATACCAGCGCCGCACCAGCTCAACAAGATCATTTCATAAGAATATATAAATAAATATCATATGGGTATATAACAGCCCATGATGCAAGTGTGTCTCTACCTGAGTAAGAAGTTCCGATCCATCCTTAAGAGATAGTAATTTCATTACGAGATCTTCAATTGAAATAATATTGGGCATATTAAGGAGGACAAACGACAACATCCACCCTAATTCCTCCATATTCTCTTCACACAAACAAGGTAATAACCATTCATCTGGATTCGCAAACTCTTCTGGAAAAGAACTTCATAAACTGATGCCATTCATTCCCGAAGAGGAAAAAAAGCAAATCAGCTTTTAATTCTTCTGCAAAAAAACTCACCCTTCTGTAGAGCTCGACACAAAGCTGTAAGCCTTTGAGTTGGATCAAGGTCAGCAAACCCTTCAAATCCGTCGCTCTTCTTCTGGCAAACCAGGTTATTTCCAATGTACTGATAATCCAGAGTGAGATACGGCATCAACCCGCTTTTCATAGCAAGCGAACATATTTTGGAGAGGAAGTTTCTCTGAAAAACCAACACAACTACGAGCAAACTGTTTAAAGAAACATTCTGAAAATCAGGTACTTAACCAATTCGACTTCATACACCCTTCCAACGGTTTACTGCCCCATTGTGGCTGGGAGGTGTTCCTGGGTGTCGGACTGCGATGTACAGTGGGGTGACTCGTCCCTCCGGCAGGGTTCTGCAAGCTGAAGAGTCCGGCGTTTCTATCAGGAAGCCCGGCTAAGGGTAAACCAATACCAGGATCCACCACTGTCCTGGTGTCAAACTAGTCGTATGGTAGCAAATCTTTCTTTGGTCCGCAAGGATGCGAGTGCCTGTGGTGGTGACGACATGGAGCAGACTTTAACCTGGTTGACCTCCGGACTCAAGGGAACCACGATGGCTAAATCAGCAAAACTCCGAAATAATGGAATTTACGTTGGGGCCCGCACAACCAGTGAGGGCAAGCCATCCACGTATCCAAGTGAGACTCGATACACCTTGCCCACCTTACTTAAGGTAAAACACTAAGTGTTCAACGTTAGTTAATGAGTGTTAGTGTCCAATTTAGTTTAGTGTTCTCTCTGTTTGGTTAAGGAGGTGTTTGGCTGAGTAGATTGCACTCAACTTGACCTTTCAAGGCTCTAAGGAAGGCCGAAATCCGCCGAAACGACATCTTGATGCTTGGTCATCAAGAGAACAGTGAATGTTACATGGTTTAAACGAAATGCGGCAGTAAACATACCGAGGTGCTAGGAGATGGATGAGAAAGATACGATGCCAGTAGTGGCAGGAACGGACGGAGCTCTTCATCCGTGAACTTATCACCAACTTCCGATAGAGATCCGTCAACAATAGCACAATAGACACCTGCATGTTGCTCCCATTTCAATACCATACCCTAAAGCCTACATTTAAATGTGACAGAAATCACTCAAAACACAAACATGGATGAACACTGAGCAGCTTTCGTTATACGAAGGAGAATCTGAACAATCGGTCAAGAAAGCCAAGAGATTTCGAAAGCAGCGTCCCAAGCCATCAACATATCTCTCTATATACTATGAAAACGGATAGATACCAACCTTTGAAAAAGTGCTTCATTTCAGTCCAGCAAAATTCGAACGGAGTGACACATAGTGCGCTCCAATTCGAACATCTGACTCATTGCTGCGCTATTTATCCCTATGAGCTAATTTTTGAAAAACAGTGTGGAGCTTTTTTATCGGACTTTAGAGAGGGTCTCTTACTCTTTCTTTACTACTTTGTATTTTTGTTTATAACGATTTGTAATGTATTTTAACAGTAGTGGTAAGATCACCATCACTTGTACTACACACGAAGCTCCAATTGTTTTACTCAAACTGAACTTGCATTCGTCCTTGTATCCCATAGTTTCTATTGAACTCTCGTCTCACAAGCAGTTAGAGAACATTCGGCACAATGACCACTAGACTTTTAGCCCTAGATTCTCTATCTTTACTGGTTTTTGATACAGTAAGCTCACAGAGGTGCATTCTCATGCGTGTGTATAAATATGGTAATGCACATATGAGAAGGGACATGTAAGTCAGGGAATGAAACACAAGTGAGCAGTCCATCCTTAGAACACACCTTAGGACATATATGTGTTTCGTTGGAGGCTTAACACCAACTTGTGGACGATCCAGGTCGGTTCGCCGCTGATCGTTTCGTGATTCTTTACATGAATTGGATCTATAAGAAACAAGGAATCTTGAAGTGAGACAGAAATGTGTTTAGGTTTGATATCATCTGGAGAGAGAGCGTGTGGCGCAGTGGTCGCAGGCGCCCTGCAACACACACATGGAATCGATCACCGCGCCCGTGGCCCACCAAGCCTTCCATCTCTTCGGGGTCGGCAAATTGGTACCAGGCTTGTCTGAGAGGATAGCAGCACTAGCTCGATACATCAGTAGGCCACCGCGAGTCATTATCAAGGCCAGATATGCATTCATTCATCTCCAACGATGCCTAATGAAGTAGAATGCATGGCGCACCCCTCAGGGATTGATCAACGCCGGGAGCTTTATCCTTTTTTATTAATGTCGTCTGGACAAGTGCGTTAACACTAGAACCGTCCCGTAGCGTTTCAAATTCTTGAGTTAAAAACTACTTGATTATCCCGGTCTGACGCAATTTTGTAAAATTCGACGATTTACTTGTTACATTACAGATAATGCTCATCAGTGATATCCTTTACTGCTCCGTTACAGCAGCATTTCCAGGAGTATAGCAGTAAAACGCCCAGGAGTATTCCTTAAAGTGGTAGCTTCTAGATCGCAGTCCATACTCATCAAGGTGACTCAGGTTGAAAAGACGTGCATCTTCGAGTTTTCTTCAAGACATAGATGTACTTTGCTTCTCAGTAATAAATCGCCTTCGTTGCTTTACAAACTGTTTTCTTCGGCTTCGAATCGAATAGCATCTACTAGTAGGTGATCCAATCTGTCATGACACTTGCCTGACGAAATAGTTAAGCCGTTCTTTAAGGACTAGTTATTCTACGCAACGAAAGAATGTTAGAAGTTAGAACTAGAACAAGTTGAATATCCTTGGGATTAATTCATATCTGTTCTATATACTAGGATGCTTTAAGCAAAAGTACATGGAATACATCGATTAGAACCGCTTTCTGGTATGTTCGTCGTCGACGGACAAGTATACTGTGATCCATAGATGACAGGAGAATGACCTACGTCGTAGGAAAGCATCAACAGACCAAGAACTATGCAGCGAGGTATGCCGATGTATTCTGTATCAATTGCTGATCGGTCAGCAGTGTGGTCGTATTTGGTGTGGGGTCCAAGTGGACTGGGGTTATTGCCATTGTAAATGAAAAAGAAAATAAAGTTATACCTGAACGGATGACCCTGATAGAACTCATACGCGCTAAAGGATTTGTGTGCTCTGTATGGAAGCAGTGATATTTTGCGATATGTCTAAATCCTTCCTTTTAAGTGTTCAACAAACAATCTGGAGCCTTTATTCCATTATGGTAGAAACATATCTGACATTTGAGCCATCGTTTTGGGAATTGCAAGATAACACTCTGTTTGATGCAAGTGATCGGGTCTTCTTATTAGGCAAGCAGTTCAACAGAGAGGCAGGTACGCGACTTCTTTTTCGTTTTCTGTTTCCTATTCTCTGTTTTATGTTTCCAGTTATCATTAGAGCTATGTAGAGACAAGATTGCTAAAGGTTCAGAGACACTTTGTTTCTCCTTTCTCTCAACTAGTTTTCTACCTAACGCTGCCATCAGCAATCAGCTCTCAGCGAGATTGATCCGAGGAGCACATATCTGCATTAGACTCAGTTAAGCTGAGACTATAGTCGAAATCACAATGTTCTCAGCTTAATTGGGTTCATTGCCGAGTTGTACTCCCTAGATCAATCCCGCTGACGAGAGATTGATAATGGCAGCTTTAGGTAGAAAACTAGCTGAGAGAAACGCAGGGAAGGATAATCACGGTTCGATCTGGCCCGAGGTCCAACTTTTGCGTATATTTCAGCGTCACTGTGATTGTATTTCACACCATACTCTGCCTTGAAAATTATAGTAGGCGGCAAATAGAAGGTTAACACTCTATTCTGTTCTTTTTTTCAAGTTCTAAAATCTTTACAACATCTTGTGGGCAACATACGGTACACAATCCTTTTCTTTCTTACTATTATTAGGATATTATTGTGCTGGAACGTTTAATCTTTTAAAAACTGGGACTACAACCATAGGGATCTGAGATATGAGCGAAAACTCGTTCGAAACTCAGTTGACCTTCGAACTCGCAATTATTCTTCCCGAGGGATCAATTGCAATCCACTACACCAACTGAGGCCCTTCCTTTGCCATTCCCTCACCCATGTTTCTACTCCATCGAGGCAATCACCTGTCACTACGAGTGGTCTGGAAACACAAATCGGTACTGAACAATGTTAAGCTAAAGTCGAAATCACAGTCTTTGGACTTTCATTTACTGCCTATTCGAAATCCACTTGAGTTTCCGAGTTTTGTTCATATCTCAGCATCCCAATAGTTGTTATCCTGCAATAGAAAAGAAAGAATAACCAGTAAATATTAGTTAGGACTTTGGGAAGTGTTCTGGAGATAGTGCCGCACGCTCAGATGAAAAGTTTGTCCCGATAATGGATGTGTTCTCAGTTCTATGAAGTCCTTTTGGCAGCCTTTTCTAACTGCTACTAATAGTTAACCCTCGCAATGGTTACAACAAAATTGCATGCTTCGCTGAAAGATCGAATGTCTTTTGATCCATGATAAACCTAGGGATCTCCCCGCCTACTTTATGGTTTTCCAATATAGCTCAAGTTCCTTCCTTCTAAACCAGAACTACTGGGAATACAAAAATCATCAAGATATTTGAATTAGTTGATTTCGTTTCGTTGATATAGGCTATGGTATTTTATTTGTCTGTTTAGGCCTTGATCCTGTAAAGCGATATGTGACGTCCCGCCTTTGGTTCACTTATAGGAAGGATTTTGCACCTATAGGTTCGTTTTCGTTCGCTGATTATAAGCAGTTTTTGGGAATAATATTTGATTAAGGGTTCCAATTTGTAGGTGGTACGGGACCTGAAACAGATCAAGGTTGGGGATGTATGTTACGGTGTGCACAAATGTTGCTCGGTGAAGTTCTCTTACGGCGGCATATTGGACGAGATTTCGAGTGGTCGGAAGGTGTGCCACCTACAGGCGAATACGAGCGTGTTTTGCGAATGTTTCTTGACGAAAAAACAGCCTTGTATTCGATACATCAGATTGGTAAGTTGTTTAGGCAAATTCCCTAAGTAAGTCGTGGATAAGGTTTTTAACTTATTAAATACCATGTTTAATTAATGGGCGCGTATGGCGCAGTGGTCGAAGGCGCCTTGGAACAAACATAGGGTCGATCCCCGCACCTCTGGCCCAGCAAGCTTTCTCTCTCTCCGGGGTGCGCAAATTGGTACCAGACTTGTTTGGGTTGATAGCAGCACTGGCTGGATGCATCGTAAGGCCACCACGAGTCATCGTGAAGGCGAGATATGCATTCAATCACCATGGCGAATCCATTGCATGGCGTTTCCTTAAGCGATTGATAAACTTGGAGAGCTATAAAGAGCTTTATTAAGTAGCACATAAGCTTTGTTTACGTTTGCAGTAAATCTCATTACAGCGCAAATGGGCGTTTCCGAAGGAAAGTCAGTTGGTGAGTGGTTCGGACCAAATACAGCAGCGCAGGTAATAGTTTCTTTACTGGCCTACTAATTGTGCCGACATAACCTTTCTAATCCATTTCTTTATCTTGCTTCTTATTCTAATGTACTGTTGCATTATTACCTCTCAGCGGTTAACGGCCTCATGGCTGGAAGAGGTGTTCCTGGGTGTCGGACTGCGTTGTACAGCGGAGGAATTCGTCCTCTCAACAAGGTCTCCTAAGCTAAGGAGTCCGGCGTTTCCATCAGGAAGCCTAGCTAAGAGTAAACCACTACCAGGATCCGCCACCGTCCTGGTATCAAAATCGCATAGTGGCAAACCTCGCTCTGATCCAGGAGGGCTGCGACTGCTTGTCGTGGTGCCATCCTGGGACAGACTTTGGCCAGGTTGTCCTCGGGATTCCAGGGAACCACAGTAGCTTAACCAACAAATCTCTGAAAAATGGTGATTGTGCTGGGACCCGCACAACTAGCGGGGACGGGCCGTTCAAGTATCAGGTATCAAATATTCATTATTAAGGTTATAAAAAAGCTCGCTGTCTTTGATTCATGGTCTGGAATAGCGGTACATGTGGCACTTGATAATATCCTAGTTTCAAGTGATGTGCAAGACATTGCTACTTTAGCACCACCGAAAGATGCCATCAAGTTGATTATGGGTAGGGATCAGTGTTTGATTTCGTTTACTCGTCCTATGTCATCGCTTGCTTTACATTATTCACTTCTCAGATGATAATAGAAATGTTGACGAATCGTATCTGACACTTATGACGGAGTCTTCTGCGTCCAATGATCGCCACTGCGAGTGGCGTCCACTGCTCTTGCTTGTTCCTTTGAGACTAGGATTGACGAGTATTAATCGCTGTTATTTGCATGCTATTGAGGTAAGTTTTTCTCCACAAAGGACTAAATGGTAGAGACTTCTCGTTGCTAATTCCTTGCTCTACACGACTACATAGTGTGGAATGCTTTGAATTTTCAGGAATTCTTTAAGCTTGACTCTTGCGTTGGCATAATCGGAGGCAGACCCAACCACGCGCTTTATTTCATCGGTATCGCTGGTGACAGAGTAAATACCCGTTAATTTTAGTAATTTTCTTACACCCATATTTGGTTTAGTAAAGCCTGTCGGATGCTTAAGAGTGTAATCTGACCCTAATGTAACAATTTCAGCTTATATATCTCGATCCTCACTACTGTCGTCCTTCAATACTCAAAAAGTATGGTGATGGAAAGTTTTTAGAAGATTTTGATTCGCTTGAAGTTAGTCGTCAAAATATTCAGGTTTTTCCTTTGATACAGCTTTTCTTTTACTTGTGTGTTCTTAGGAAGAAGGTGTTCTACGGTCAGTTCCAGCAGAAGGAATCAACAATCATTTAGATGACACCTCATTTCACTGTAAAATGCTCCTACATATGTGTTATGACCAGGTAGTTCTTGAAATTTACAGGAAACTATATGTAACAATGTGTCACTTTCATCCATCGTAGGTCGATCCATCGATGGCACTGGCATTTTTTTGTGAATCTGCAAGCGCTTTCAAAAGGCTAACTAGTGATCTCAAGGAGGTTGGTTAAAGATGCTTTGTTTTCTAATGATCTAACATATTCCTGTACAAGATGGTTTGTCAGCAACATACTGTAATTTCTCGATGTTTGAAGAAGTTGAGAAATTGCAGATCTCACAGACTTCCGCTGTAGAGTGCGTATAACTCTTACGAAGCATTTCTTTGAAGGTTTCTTATTTAGTGTTAAGAATTCTGGAATTCGAGTCATCCATGTTTTAAACACAAGCACGGCAGAGACAAGTACCGACAATACGTAGGAGAATGCGGTCATATCGTGCTGGACCTTACTGGTTTCTATTTAAATCAGCATAAACTGAAATATGTTACTGTGGGTGACAACTATTTTTATACCCTGTGCATTGAATTCAATGCACCTCACTATGTGTTAATGCTTTTGGACCTACTTTTAGTCTTCGAAAGTAAAAAAGAAAGTTCGTCATGGTACAGCTAAAATTTAAAACATCAAGGATATCGCCCATAAACAGCCGAACGCTTCGGTAAAGTGCCGTAAACAGCTAGTATTCGCTTGGAGCGTTAGGTTAATCGCATGTGTAACCTGTACCATTTGTACCACTTTCCCTCACGTCTCACGCTGGTGATCGAGTAAACACGCACCAGGAGAGTTTCCGTTTCACTCTGTTGAATGCAGCAGTAGTCTAGTGGGTTCTGCTCGAGCTAAGGACTCTAAACATAGTATTTTCCTTAAGCGATTTTCTTAAAAAAAAATCTGACCGTCTGATCGATAGTCATCCTCGTCTGTCGTGGCTTCCCATGAGAACCAGTCGCTAACGTCTCTTGTCCAGCTGTTGTTCATCTGTTGTTAAGACGCATCACAAATTTTCAATATATTGCCATATGTAGCGGTATCTCTAATCTTTAGTTGTTGAAGTACGTCGGAACTTCGATTTCTATCTCTGTGATACCGACATCGTCTTAAGTTTGCTTGATGCGCTGAGTGGTCTTTTACCAGGTTTACATAGCGAGGTTTCGCGCACGTAGGTAGGAAGAGTCGTAAGTCGAAAGACCAGTCTCAAACGAGGGCTTTCATAACAATGGAGTACCATTTAGTTCTCACAACGTTTCATAGAGCGTTGGTAAAGGAGTTTCACGTGTTATCTCGTAGTTAACACCTCTTATGCCGATGAAAATGTCGTTATTAGGATAGTGAAGTTGTTTCATATATACATATATATATATATATATATATATATATATATATATATAACAGATGAGCTTGATGCACTGAATAGGAAACTACCGCCGCTACGAATGCACTTGATCGTCACTAATGAGCCCTGAAAATTCCTCATAATTTTCATAATTCTCATAGTCATTCCTTATGTTAAGTCCTTCCGAATAGAAGTTAAGGTCTTGGTGATTACTTCAAGCCCATGGAGTAAAGCAAGTTTCGACTTCATCTTCTTCATAGTTCGATGTTTTGGCCTAGGCAACTAAGATTCTCAAGGATTTGTTCCACATATTTCAAAACATAATCATGTAATTCGGGCCATAGGTTTTTCAAAGGAAGCGTGTTTTTTGCAAAGCTTGGCTCCGTGGAGTCGACTTCATCGATCCCCTACTGTGGCCATTCAACGGTGAACAGTTCTCCGGGATCGTAAACAGTGTCATATGGACGGTTTACTCTTTTCTTTCTCAGCATCGTTATTTATTTATTTTGCACTTTCAGCCAGAAATATCCTCATGTAGCATGGCGGGCTTTATCAGAAAAGACCTGGTCCAGTCTTTTATTAACTTTAGGTGACAGTCATTGGAATGTCGGAACTACAACAAAAAAATACGGCTTTTCCATCGATACCCTTGCGATTCCCATAGAAAAAGGGTTTCGAAAAAGTGGCGCCATCTCGCCAAAGCTATTCACAACAGCAACCACAAGCTGAGCTGTTCAGCTGTTTAACCACATTGCAGATTAACGCCTTCTTGAACGACGAGCGAAACGATGAAATGACGTGCTCATGTCTAAAGTTAATCGTATGAACTCGCAGCTCTTAAAGACTTTATGAATTCGAAATGAGGTTAGTAGACCGCATCGTGTTCGAAGCAGACCACCACCGTGGCCGATGATTGCTCGAGAGGGAAACGAATGGAAATTTCATTAAGATCCGCACTTCCATGAAGGCTGCCATCCAATTACCGAACTAAGCAAACACTACTATTTTTAGCCTCGGTGCGATAAAATAAAGTCACCTGTTTGTCAATCTATCAAGTTTTTGATTCCTTATTGTCTTAAGTTATAGGAGAATTTTCGGCCGTTTTCAAAAATTCGACTTCTTAACGAATGCGTTGAACTAATTTTGAGGAATGAAAACTTTGAAGAGCTGAAGAACGAACGGCAACTATTAGAAAATAACTAAATACCCACAGAAGTAAGAAGTGAAGAAGTGTATGTGTGTGTATATATGTATGTATGTATTTATGTATGTATGTATTTATGTATGTATGTATGTATGTATGTATGTACGTACGTATGTATGTATGTATGTATGTACGTACGTACGTATGTATGTATGTATGTGTATGTATGTATGTGTGTGTGTGTGTTTTTACATACGTTAGTATGGTACAATTTTACAAAATGAAGGTAGGGATTATATCCCCCAACTCCACCTGCGCCACAACAAGTACAAGGTCTCTTCTGATACTCGTTCAATAATGTTTTCAACAATGCTTCCTGTTTTTTTCAGAGGCAGACTTTGTGTCAGATCTCATTATCGTAGTTCTTAAATCAATCTACTTTGCAGAACGTATTTCCTTCTTCGCAACCATCGCTTTTCGAACAGCTTGAAACCCGTCCAAAATACTGGCCACCGTTCGAACCGTACACAGGCGTGAAGGCGAAAATTTTAATGAAAGGTTAGATTGTATTTGAAAATTTGATTTACAGTATCCAGCCGTGGACTTCTTAGTTTAGATTTTGACGACATGTGTGCTCCAAACTATGTAATTGACGATGGTTTCGAGATTCTTGAGGAAACAGAAGAGCCTCTCACTGATCTAGCTGATGACCTACTAAAATCCTGACAGAAACTGCTCATCTGAGTCAGTTTCCTCCCACGTCAAAAACTTTTTATGGTGTTAAACTTCGCAAACACAAATATTCTTCGAATTGTCATCTTTGGCTTTTCTTTTTATCTCTTCTATATTTAAAGTGCTGACTGATTTCTTGCACTAAACCGTTCTTTTTCTTTCGTGTCGAATTTATTCTGCAATGTGATCGTTGAGGTGGTATTATTTTTTTTTGATTAGTACCCATAACACTCATTTTTTATTCTCGATGGCCTAAATTTCCCATAGAAGATTACTAGTTTACTTTGAGCGCTCCGGAGTTCTACAACGGCATAACATAGCTTGCAGTTTTGCTGACTTGAAGATTTCAGTTAATGTTATACCCAGGTATGTGTTATCGGCTTCTCACGCTTTCGTTCATGCTTTCCATTTTTATTGCGTCTCTTTTGTTCACAGCTTTGTGATTTTTTTCGATAGCTTTGTCAAAGGCACTCTAAACCCGCTCAAAAGCGGCGGAAGATTCGTTTTAGTCCCAGGGCCGTGATTGTGTGACACATCCAATACTTTCAATTTCTCTATGGTCTAAAACATTCCTTGCCTCTTTAGCCTGTTCTATCATATTTCGCCTGACCTTGATTGCATTTTCTACTATTTCACATATTTTTCTGTTTAAAATTGTATTAAAATACTGGCACTTGAACTGAGTTTTAATGTTGTATATATTGTATATAAATAAGTCATAGCCTATGCTTTATAGCCTAACCATGCCAGTAAAGAATGTGCCGCTGTTCTAATATTAAATAGGAATAAATTCAAATGGCAAACGAATATTTGTATGGTCAATTCTGGAAAAATTTATAGCGTTAGCGAATACAAGAATTTCGTACTCCTCTAGGGAGAGGATCTTACGTTTTATGCTACCCAGGAGTTGTACATTTGCAGTTTAGTGCAAAACTGCGGTTTTATAGTGGTAGTTAGGAATCTGGCTGCGTTCTGAATCCGCTGAGTAGCGAATAAGAGAGGATGAAAGGTTCAGTCTTGATCAATTTCTAAGGATGAGCGCCATACAGTCGACTTCATTAAGGATCATTGGAGGTGACTGGATTATAAGTCAGAGGTGTATATCTGGGCCATATAATTTGCGGTAGCCAAAGGGTATACCTAATTAGTGCTACTATCCTCCCAGACAAATCTGACACCAATTTACCGATCCTACACGAATAGAAAGCTTTGTGAACTCGGTGCATAGGGTCGAACCAAAGACTACGTGCCTATCGCAAGACACAACCAACAACTACGCTGCACAAGTTGAGTAGCAGATTAAATAGCAGAAAGATCTTTGATAAACAAATTGCACCGGTATGTCAACTTAACCGTGGTTAGAGTTCTTATCCGAATCATCACTTCTGTCACCTGTCGTCCCGTTGATTGTTCAGCATGCGAGGCAAGTAAGTCTTCTATTTCTCTCTGTCGCGTACAGGAGTAGCCCAGCGGGTTCCGATCGCTCTCGAAACTCGTTGAGCATCATATCTCTCTTCTAGGCTTTTCGTGAACGACTCTCACCATCGGGTCCTTGATGTCTCTGCAGTGCGTTTAACATCCCGAGGAATCCAGTCACTAACTGCTCTTGTCCATCAGTTGTCATTCATCCGCATTACGTTTCCGGCCCACCTTATCTTCGACTGTTTGGAGTACAGAACGACATCTTTGATTTTTGATCGTTGCCATAGGTCGGAGGTTCGGATCCCTTCTCTCACTTGCGTAATAGCGGATACTCCTATCATCGCCCTTTCGGCTACCCGTTCTTTAACACAGAGTCATCTATCATCCTGTTTACGAAGCGACCGGGTTTGCGAAGCATACGCTAAGGCAGGAAAAACATCTTAGATGCTCTCTAAAGCTCTCTAAGTAGCTCACTTCCTCCTGCCTGACTCCGGAACTAAGTCGGCTCATCATGTCGATTTCGAGGCCTAGAATGACGTGGTTGGAACATTCCGAGATATTCACTCCACTCAGCATAAGTAGAGCACACGGAACAAATCCGCTCGTCGTGGAAATCGTTCTTGTGAGCTTTAGTGAAAGTCCAATTTTCCGTATGCGTTATCAAAGTCGGCAAGCATTCGTTTCATATAACTAATGTTATCAGAACGATGTCATTAACTATGCCAAGATGTTGTAGTCGCCGACCATCAACTTTAATAGACTAGCCGTCCCATCGCTGTTTGCATCACGTTTTGGAGGATGTCAATAAGCAGTTTTGGCGAGATAGGATCACCTTGCCTAACCCTTCTTTTGACGTCGACGTTCATATCATTATAGAATGGTGATATCTTGGTTGTGAATTTTTCGTACAGCTCACGAAGAATTTTTATATACCAAGGACTCCTTGACTATCCAGGGCTTCCACGACTGCTTTAATCTCAACTGAGTCAAAAGGCTTCTTTAAATCGATGAAAGTGAGACAGAGCGGCCTCTTGTGTTCTCGCCATTCTTCAAAGACTCCTATTATCGTGTGGATGTGTTCCGTCCTAGTTGAATCCTTTTCGAAACCCTGCTCGCTCACATAGCTATTCTTCTCACATATTCTCACACAGTATTCTACCGATCCTGGTTGAGATGACTCGAGTAAAGGGTTCATATATGACAAATAGGAAGCAGATTGGGCGATAGTTACTGATAACGTGGAGATCACTTAACAGTCACACAGTCTTTGTCATTGAACAGAAACAATGCATTCTGACAGGGTAACGTGTTAAGAGCCGAGCCAGTGTGTTTACGAGAACTGACGGAAGGTTCTTCAGGTGTTCTGTTCTTATCCTACCCGGACCTGGTGCTGTTCGATTCTTCACCGACGAAATGGCATGACGGATTTCTGAAGGGAGAACCGGTGGTACAATTCCATCCTCCTTTATTTCATACAACGGAAGGTGGACATGGCTGTCGAAGAGATCTGAGTAGTATTCTTGAATGATGTTCTCTATTGCCTTTCTGGATGCTGTGACTGTTCCGTGTGGATGTCGGAGTGTAATCAACTTGGTCTTCTAATTGGCAAAGCTTCGGTGGGCTTTGCTAATGCTCTTATCGGCCTCTACAACTTCCACCACAGCTGCTGCTCTTTTCACTTTAAAATCCTCTTTTATCACCTTTCTGATTATTTTGCAATCTCGTCAGTTGGGTTTTCCCTGTCACTCGTGCGATTCCGCACTGCTCTTCACTGTCGTAGAATTCTGGCAGAGTCAATTTTCCCTAGAGTCCTGAGGTAGTCGGGCTGGAGCGTTCTCAATTGGATTACAAAGAGTGATTTTTTCCTGGACAAGTCCGGTATCAATTTACCGACTCCGTAAAGATAAGAGGCTTGATTGGCCCAGATCGGAATCGAGCTAGTACCACGCTTGTGATAACATCGCTACCGCTCTACTATCCGCACCTTATTGTCGTTATTACTAATCATAAACGACTACAACCCAGTGTCTCAAGGCGTACGGCTCAGCAACTAACGCACAGAAATCCTGCCTGGCGAATGCAAAGGGCGAACAGTCAATCCGACGAGTATTCACAACAACTTGGTATTTTTATAACTGTAGACGTCACCACAACCTCGGTATGAACAGTAAATATCTTCTTGGACTACAATGATCCTGAGATATTTGCAAAACTCCGGTCCGCAGGTGTCTGTTGCAGGGATCGAACCTAGTTATTACCATTTTCGGGGGCTAACGTGTTCACCATCACACCATGCGTGTTCTTCGTTTCGCCCTTCTCTCTTCTCAGGTTATAAAGCTAACATAAGAGTGCTATAAAAATGAACCAAACTTACCATTCGGCTTCGAACGGTAATTCTCTGCAAAATATTTGACCAGATACGACAACGAATACCTAGTCGAGAATAAGGGATTGTGTCCTATGGACTTGGATCAATCCGGATCTGAGGAAAGCGAAGTCGTTCAGACGTATAGACCTAAAAGCTCTCGGCTTTGATCAATCCCTGAAAGATGCGCGATGTATTCGACTTAATTAAGCATCGTTGGCAGTGCGTATCTGACCTTTACAACGATTCTCGGTGGCCTACCGATGTATCGAGCCAATGTCTGTATCCTTTCAGACAAATTTGGCATCAGTTTTACGGACCGCAGAGGAATGGAGGGCTTGGTGACCCTTGGGCGCAGGGATCGATCCCACGTGTATGTTGCAGGGCGCCTCCGACCACTGCGCCACACTCACCCATTGAGAGTATGCCGAATAAAAATCTTATAAAAGCCTCATGTTAGCTTATTAATAGAACAATACATGGATTCTTTGAACTAATGTTAAATCAGACCCCGCATGTGAAACGAATTGGGTTTCGTTCAAATCGTGCCGCGCTCGGTGAAAAGTCAGGCGTCGCCTAATTCTGCCGCCGCTGCCGACGACGACGACGACGACGAAAAGTGGTCCTTAAGCTGTAAATGTTTATAGTTATTAGAAGTTTAAACGTCTGCTCTCTCTCCCATGTGTATTGTATTCTCGCTCCTTTTCACATCGTAGGTCATAGGGGTCGAGCTGGTATCACTTTGGTCCTATTCATCTTTGTTTCAGAGCAAAACTACACCCCTCACCCTCTCCCCTCCACCGACATGCTTCGTTTACTGGGATGACGGAAAGAACAGCATGATATTTGTTGGAGACGCCTTACTATTCGTGGATTTTTTGTTGAAGCCGATCCCGAATTCTCACCTATGTGATCCCCACTTACCTAGTGGGAAGGTTTTGGCCGAATTGAAGTCGAGGATAAAACCCATATGTGCGTTAGCAAACCCCCTCGTATATCCACGAGTTTTACAGAGTTCGTAAATCGGCCCTGAATAGAAAAGGCAGAAAAGTACAAGCATTGTATCCACTCAGGTTCTTTAAACAAGTACCCGAAGGGTTTTCATTCGAATTCCAAACAACCCGCTTTCCATTGTCCGAGATGTAATCGATTCGTGATTTGTTCTGTAAACTAGGTCTATACTTTAACCCTTTTGGGGTTCCTATTTGTGTCAGGTTAGTGGTTTGTAGTCAACTAAGAGTGCTTTTCAGAATAGAACGGTCCACTTCATAATTGGGAGGGAAATGCCTGCCTATGAAGTCAGCTTAATAACACGGTCCCTTTCTAAGGTGAAATGTTGCTCGGTTAGTTCGTATACCTTTCTCTAAAACCTAAACCTGTCTTGTAGATTTAGGCAGATCTTGTTAAAGCGCTAGTACGTGCTGGGCAAACTTTGCTGGATAACGGTGGTGTTATTGAAAGTGTCGAATCGCTTGGATTTCGGGATCTTCCGTTTAAGAGGATCGCAAAACAGACTCATGAGCCAGTTTACGCTTCGAAGTTAGTCTCTCACCCATAGTTTTAAGTCTTTTCTTGTTGTTAAGAAATCACTAAAATCCGAAAGAAAGAAGCGTAAAACAAGGGACTCAGTGGTGCAGTGTGTAACATATGAGCACCCGGAAAGGGTAATCGTGGTTCCATTTGGTCTGGAGTCTAAGTTTCGCGAATATCTCAGCATCATTGTGGTTGTTTTTCACTAAAAACTGTCCGTTCTAGTTTCTTCTTGTTCAACACCCATATGTCAATCGAGGCCAGAAAGATTGTAAAGTCGATTTTCTTCCACGATCTTGATCTGGTACGTGGGTTTTCTTCCTTTTCTTTTAGCCCAACTGGTATACAAAGGCTTAGGTCACTAGGTTCTGTCTATTTTTACTTTAATAATCTTTACTGCAGTTCACAGTCTACATATTTAGATGCATGTAGCGATTGTACCATTAGTCTCTCCTTCCACACCTAAAAAATGTAACTTTGAAGAATTTTTTAAACCTCCTAGCCAGCGTCAGGTGAGTTTCATGTTAACTAATTTGAACAGTTGATTGTTCCGCTTGCTTACTTAGATACTTGAGTAGCCCGTCATCACTGGTCGTGCGGGTCCCAGCACAATTTCCATTCTTCCGGAGTTCTGCTGGTTTAGCCATTGTGCCTCTCTTGAGTCCAGAGGTCAGCCAGGCCAAACTCTGCCTCAGGTCATCACTACCACAGGCAGTGGCCGCCCTCATGGATCAGAGGGAGATTTCCCATCATGCCACTAGTTTGATACCAAGAAAGTGGTGGATCCTGGTATTTTTTTACTCTTAGCTGGGTTTCCTGATGGAAACGTCGGACTCCTTCTCAGCATGGGATGTCCTACTGAGAGAATCCGCTCGCTCTATATCGAGGCCCAACAACTAGGAACACCCCAGCCACGATTGGGTGGTAAACCGTTGGAAGGGTTCATTGTTTTAATGGGATCAACTCGAGGTGTTTTTCACTTCATTACTATTGATCTTACTCGACGTAGTTTCATATTGCAGTTCTGATTATATAGTTGCCAAGAAGTACTGGAAGGTTCTGAAGTTGATTTTTGTTCAGGTTCCCTATTTTTTGGTATCAGTAGCTTCAATTTTCATTAGGAATCCAGAATTCTCCCGACATCGCCGTATAATAAGCACTCTTCAGTGTTTCAATGAAGGGAACATTTGAAGAGGGGGTTGCAACAAAATTATTGGGGTTTCTAGGCATTTTTTCGAATTTTAAACTGTTTATGGTAAATAATGCTGGACTACATAAATTGACATTCAAGATTTGCTCTTTTAGTCCGTGAAAGACCTTCGAGAAGGACAGAAAATGGGTCATTTTACGCGACAAATGATCTATAGACGTACCGAAAAAGAATGGAAGAGTATTCCGAAGAGCTATCCTATCTCTCCACCTCGTCCTTGATTACTTCTACTTAGTGTAGTTACATCTTTTTTTAGTGATTCGGTATATATCTGCTGTTTCGAAAATTAGCCACGTGAAAGCGCAACAGAAGTATAACCGATTTGCTGCAGTGAAGATGACCCAAATGTTACCGTGTACATATTCAAATGTTGTCCTGTTTTGTTTTCGGATGAAGGTTAGATTCTTTGGTGATTTGTTAGTCGTATCCTTTCTTCCTTGCAATTGTACCAGTTTGTTTTTGTAAAGTTTAAACCCTGAGTTCTACCACAGAGTCAAATGTGTTGAACTCGTCTTACTTAATAATACTGTCTATTTTGCCCACTTTTTTTACTTTGCAATAAGATGCTGTGCTTTTTCTTCTCTCCATCTCAAGATGTCACTCAATGGAATTTGCAACGGTAACGAAGATGTGGTGTCGGAAAAGCAACTGTTCGATGCTCTTTATGGAATGGAGGTTGGTTTGTCGGTGTATATATAGCATGATATGTCACATATGATGTATGTCATAGTTCATATAGTCGTCAAAAGGGACGTGTAGTGCACTGGTCGGGGCCGCACTGCAGTATACATGGGGTCGATCCCGCGCCACTATCTCGTTAAGCCTTCCATCTCTCCGGGGACGGCAAATTGGCACCAGACTTGTTTGGTAGGATGGCAGCACTGGGTCGAAACATCGGCAGGCCACCGCGAGTCATTGTAAAAGTCATGTGCATTCAGTCACGTCAACGGTGCTTAATGAAATCGAATGCATGGTGCATCCATCATCGATTGATCAGCGCCGAGAGGTTTATCCTTTATATGCCATCTTTATCTCGAGAAAGTGAGAAAGAACACATAGCTCAATGGCTGCATGGAATAACGGGATCGTCAGGCTAGTAACTGTAACACGCTGTTTCGATATCTTGGATACTATTTCCTTCACAACGTTTGAAGGCATCGAACCAATGAATTCTGCTCTAAAACGCGCGTTACTTCGCCAGGTTTTTGATGGTTTTTCATCCACCCTGAGGCTACTATGTATCCGCATATCAAAAGGATTTCTCATTAAATACAGCTCATTATGCCCCCAAGTTGTTAGCTTTCGTGGTCCTGCAGTCCTGAATAAATCTACCATTTGTTATTTTCTCATTTTTGGTTCATTACTTTGTTTACCTTCTGTTTTCACCAGTTTTCTGTCCTCTTTATCTGAAGGTTGCAGGTTTTTCGGTTAGGCGAGTTTTACCTCAAGTCTGGTCAGCTCACTCCAATCTACATTGATCTTCGTCGCGTTATCAGCAACCCACGAACACTGGTGAGAAACTGTTTTGTTAACTGTCTGCTCCGGTTTTGCTTTATTCTATTGCATTTGTCAAATAGTTCTATTTGCCCACGAAATTTTCAGCATCTAGTTGCTCAAGCTGTTTGCGATTTCGTTATCGCTAAGGGGCTCGTTTACGACTGTGTAGTAGGTGTTCCTTATGCTGCGCTTCCGCTAGCCACAGTAAGTTCATTTGTTTCTGTTAATTAACATTGTTTAACATTCCTAATGAATCATTATTTAAGTATTTATTTATATGTTCCAACGAATTGATCCACCCGAACGGTTTACCACCTCATCGTGGTTTGGAGGTGTTCCTGGGTGTCGGGTTGTGAAGGTACACAGGGTGGATTCATTCCCCCAGCAGGATCTCCCAAGCTGAGAACGAGTCCGGCGTTTCTATCGGGAAACCCAGCTAAGAGTAAACCAATAATAGGATCCACCACCGTCCTGGTATCAAGGCATGATGGCAAATTTCCTTCCGATCCACAAGGACGGCGGCTACCTGTGGTGGTGATGCCCTGTTGCAGACTTCGGCTAGACTGACCTCGGGATTCCCGAGAACCGCAGTGCCTAAACCAACAAAACTCCGAAAAAATGGAGATTATGCTGTGACCCACTAGTAAAGGCGGGCCATCCAAGTAATTCGTCGTTTTTCCTCTCAGTAATCGCCAGGTTGTTAAATAGCATCCATTTACTTCCATACAATAACACACATACAACACAATCGTAGCTGACGTTTTGGCAGTATCGCCTTCTTCATAGCCTGGAGGGGTATAGTGGTATGCAATTCACTATGACAAACGCTTGAATAACACATTCAGAAAGATGAGAATCTAAATGGCAGTCACATGGTCAACAGCTTCTCGAAAAACCCACCGTTTTTACGTGCCTTTTACTGAGGAAGAGCCGCTGATCAGAGTCGCATATGGTTGACGACTGCACCTTCCCACACCAACGTTCGATAAGGAGGTACGGGGCGAGATCACGTGTGATCTTGGAGCATTCCTCGCTGCTGTTCACTATAGGGTTTTTGGAATTTATGCAAAAAGCCACAAAGCGCTTGCGCGCTGGTGTTTTGGCATCCTCTGCTAGGATAGTAACTTTTATATCAGTGTCGTCTCCGCTATGCTTCTGTATCCTATGCGTGCCTAGTGGGGTACTTTGTTTTGCTTTTCGTTTGCCATCTAGGTGTTTTTTTATACGGATACACAAAGGTCTGCCCGTTTCGTCAATATATTCGTCTCCGCAATTATTACAAGAGATCGGGTATATCGTACCTGAACTCATGCAATGACCGTCCCTGCCGTAAGGGCAAATTACGCAATTTGTTGTTTCACATAGACGGTCATACAGGCGGTTACGAACTAATTGACGACGTAGAGTAGCCGGTGGTATTTCAACTATCGCTACCGATTCCTCTAGACCTGCCCTTCTTAAGCATCGTTTAATAGCTACGCTTTCTTCTTCGCTAATAAAGGCAACATAAACGGGACTTTCTTTTGGCCAAGTGTTTCGCTTGGGCGCGTCGCTCTCCTTTTAAACTTATCTTGTGGTGTTACTATTTCGTAGCCATTGGAGATGGCTATTTGGCAAGCCGAGTCATGCGATTCTCCCTTTTTCCCTACTTATGCACACGAAGGTGGCTGTTCGAAACATCTTTTTCACAATCGTCCTTTTTGTGTGTGGAGGACGAGAAGAGAGGAAATGAACGAGGATGTTCTTGTTACTTGGTTTTCCGTACCACTTTGTCATGTAACAGCTACTTGATAAGTTGACTTGAACGTTAAGGAATGGAAGCTAGTTCTATTTCGGTTTCTTCTAGGTGAACTTGATGTACTCAAACTACTTATTGAATAACTCAAAGCACTTTTCCATCTTCTCCTGAGTAGAGAAGATGACAAAACAATCATCTATATATCTGCAGTAGAGTAGTGGCCGGAGATCGATAGCGGGGTGCTTCTATTCTAGACATGAACGCGATGGCAAGACTTGATGCCAACCGCTGTCCCATCGCCGGCTCTCTCATTTGCGCGTAATATTTCCCGAATCATCTAAAGATCGAGCAATTTAGGCACTCTTTTAAGAGAGCCATAAGTTGCTGAATAGACAAGCCATGCATATGTATTTCTCCTTCATGTTTATGAAGAAGTTTGAAGATGGCTTGCATTGCGGAGTCATTCGACACGTTGGTGTACAGTGCGATATCGTCGAAAGACTCCATCACGTGCGCGTTATTAGGAGACGCGTTACGTAGACGTTCTAGGAACATTTCGGTGTTTGTGAAGTGAGCTGGAATTTGGTTAAGCAACCGGGTAAGTATCAGGCTTAAAAACCAGGTTATTCTATCCGTTGGCCCGTCTACACAGCTGATGATCGGTCTAACTTTAAATGATAACGGATTAGTTGACGCATGATCACCAGGTGATACCAACTTATGTGTTTTAATAAGTAGGTATTGGACGGGACATGTTGGTCTATCGATTTTAGCGGTTACCTGAGAAAGTGGTATCGAAAGCCAAGTAACAAGAACATTCTTGTTCATTTCCTTTCTTCCCACCCTTCACACACAGAGGGCGCTTGTAAGAAACATGTTTCGAACAGCCACCTCTGTGTGCACAACCAGGGAACTAAAGGAAGAATCGCGCGACTTAGCTCGGCAAATAGTCATCTCCAATGGCTACGAAATAGTAACCCCACGAGATACGTTTAGAAGGATTTTTACGAATACAATAAATGCCTTTTTAACTTCAATTTTTATTTAATATTTCCTCCTTGGTCTAATAGTGGAGTCGATCTTGAAGCTCATGCAAATTGCATGCGCTCCTACGCACGGTTGCCTTAGAAATGGGTTGTGATGGTGCAAAGCTTGGGCCCAATTTTAGCAAAGGGCGCTCGTTCGCAGCTATGGTCGTACTCCGAAGTACGGTGAGCCTGGATTTTCTCGGTGCATTGTCAATCGTATTTTGACTGCTATCAGAAGCTCAAATAATTCTTTTATGGTTTCTTGAAGCCGAGATATGTGAGCTACTCAAAAGATTCTCGAACTTTCGTTGTAGAGATGTTTTGGCATTAGACCTAATATTATTGCATATCAAATTGACCCACCAATTATTCTCGTCCAAAGGCGATCCTCCAAGTTGAAAGCACAAAAATGTTCCTTTAACACACACTTCATTCTGGCGAACATCTCGTTTTGCTTGCTTCGTAGCGCGGCTCTGAGTAGGTCCATTTCGATACCTCGTACTTGTTGGCTGTCCTCTGGTTGACCGCATATCCCGTGAAGTTGCTTTCGTTTTATATACTTTGGCACGACTCGATGTTGAAAACAGCAGCAGAGAAACTTGATTTGTTGTCTGCCTAAGACAATTTTTGTCCTTACTGAGAAAGCCTTATATATATGAACTGATCTTGCCGATCTAATGCGAAGTTGGTGCAAGGTATTGTCGTCGTTGTTGTTGTTGTTGTTGTTGTTGTTGTTGTTGTTGTTGATGTTGTTGTACTTCGTTGGTAATGTTTCGTGGATTTCGCCTGTCGTCGATTCGAAACGTGAGCCATCGAAAAGAACGAGAACAGCTACAACAACAACAAAACACCAATAACGACGACACATACCAACCTCGCACCGTCTCGACATGATCAATTCATAAAAGGGTAAAAAAATTATCTTTGATGAATTCATAGGAACATATAAATAGATGTACCGATTATTCATGCTGAGATTAATAGAAAATCGGACTTTTGAGTATTTAAGTGGTTATCCATGGCCAAGCAATCCTTTTTACTTTAGCACGTAAGCAACATATTGGACGTCCCTATGCTCATGAAGCGAAAAGAATCGAAGTCGTATGGGACGAGGAAGCTTGTAGAGGTAGGGTAGTTTTCTAAAATGGCACTATAGAGGAAGAGGAATAAAATGGCACTTTCTTCGATTTGTTTAAGGGTGTTTATGCTACGGGCGATACGGTCCTTTTAATAGAAGATGTTGTTACCACAGGCGAATCCGTACGTGAAACAGCGGAGGCTCTTCGAGAAGAAGGTCTGATGGTGTGTAGACGGATTTTTCCTTTCATTAATTCTATTTTTGAATATTCACCAGTATTTGATTTTGGTGTGAGATGGCAGTAATATGCATTTATCTCAATGCATACTGGTTTGAAAATAATATCACCTTACAACTCGGAACAAACGTATTTCAACATATAGCTTACTTTATTTGTTAAGATTAAAACAATTCGAGTGCACACATTTTCGCTAGTTGGTTTAAAATTTCTTTGATCTCTCACGAGATTTCATTTTTAGATCTCAAGAGTTGTTTTTCTTGCTTTTTGTTATTCTGGTTCTGAACTGAGGAAACGAAGACATCCGAAGAAATGCAGTTTTGCCCAGTAGGATACTATTGTGTTCTGCATGTGTCTTCAGTTTCGGTCGCTTTCGGATTTGTTTCAAGAAATTTTGATTTTTTTACGGTGTTTACATATCCAGTTTTAACTCTGGCGTTTAAAAAATCCATGTTTTCGAACTCATTTGTGCGTTCAGAGTGGCAACACAATGTGTTTTCAAAAAGTTTGTAAAATTTTCATGTATTGTTAGAAAAGGGTGCGTGTAGCGCAGTTGTCGGAGACCCTTTGCAATACACATAAGATCAACTCCCGCGCCCCAGGTCCACTGGGCCTTCGATGCCTCCACGGTCAGCAAATTGGTACCAGACTTGTCCGGAAGGATAGCATCACTAGCACGATACATCGGCGGGCCACCACGATTCATTGTAAAGCCCAGATTTGCATTCACTCACCTTCAACGATGCTTAATGAAGTAAAATGCATGACGCATGCTTCAGGCATTGATCAACGCTGAGAGTTTTATCCCCTCTTCTTGCTTGGATACTTGGACGGGCCATCATCACTGGTTGTGCGGGACCCAGCGTATTCTCCATTTTTCGGTGTTTGCTGGTTAAGCCATTGTGTTTCACTCGAGTTCCAAGGTTAGCCTGGCTAAAGTCTGCCCAAGTCGTCACCACCACATGCAGTCGCCGCCCTTGTGGATCAGAGGGAGATTTGCCACCATGTGACTAGTTTGATACAGACCGTTGGGAGGTTGTCATTTTTATCCTTCTTAATTGTTAAAGAATCGTGAGCAGTTATAAAAAGGCCGGCATCATCTCAAATTTAATGTTTTATCAATATTGGGATATAAAAAGGGTTGTTTAGGTTACAGATGCCATAGCTGTTTTAGACAGACAGCAAGGAGCGACAGAAAACTTAGCCGATGATGAAATTGACTTCCATAGGTAAGTACCAACTTCCTATAATTTCTGGTACCTAGGAAATGAAACCAGATAGTTGATTTCAGCATTTTAACAATGGAAAGAATCCTCGATGGTATGATAGAAAAGAAGAAGATCACCACCGAAAGGAAGTGTGAGATCATAGAACATTTGAAGAAACCCTTCTGAAACGGGTTTTTCAGCGATGCAAAGAGCTTAGGAATTGATTACTTCAATTTGAATCTGTTGTTATCTAAACTTGTTACTTTCCTATGTTCCACTTCATCGTTTTTGGCCATTGTTACTAAAAAGTCATCACTATCGTGTGAGGGTGACTTGGTTCAACCTAATTTGTTGCTTCAAGTAATCTGTTCATTACGCATTGGTGAGCATTCGTGCTTCTCTGCACTGCTCATTATGAAAGCCTTCTCTTATGCAATGGGTCTGTTATATGTGTTGCATTCGTTGGTTGGATTGATTGTATTCTTTCGGAAATAAATCTATAATTGTACTGTTTGTCTTTTGTAGAAATAGTACATCACCAATGAGGTAATATCTTAAAGTTCCTGAACATATCAGCATTATGAAAACGACAAAGGAATGGGTCGGTAGTGCTTGCGTCACAGTTTTTGCCGTAAAGTTTAGTTCATAGAGTAACGTTCTACGTCTTCTAGAATCTCTTACTATTCAGGTTCCATGTCTTCAAGAAGAGACCTTCGAAATAAGGCGATTCGAACAATCCGTTCGTGTGCTGACGCTATTGCGTATTTCGACTGTAATCATCGAATTCGTGGTTATGATATGCAGGTATTAAGAGAATCCTTGTTACCTTTTCTTCCATTACTTGGATTTTGCTTCCCCACGCCCCAGGCTCACCTAAGCTTTCCATCCCTCCGGGGTCAGCAAATTGGTACCTACGCCACCGCGAGTCATTGTAAAGGCCAGGTATGCACACAGTCAGCACCGATGCTTAATGAAGTCGAGTGCGTGGCGCATCCTTGAGGGATTTATCAGCACCGAGTGCTTTATTCTTTTTTATTAATGCTTTTTAGGTGCAAAGAGCTCATGCGTTGTCGTGGAACTGTGATGGTTCACGTTTGGCTTGTGGTTCTCAAGACAGGCGTGTTGCAGTTGGTACTATCGACTCTTCGTGTCGTGTGAAGTGCACTTTTGTAGGGCAGGGACATGACGATTCAGTGGATCAGGTTCGCATTTGAGATGACATTTTCACCAGTGCAATTCTTCTCGGAAGTGTAAAAAGTATGGTTTGGTATAGCAAATCATTTGTGTTTCCATCTTACTCTCTTCCCATTAAAGTGGAGGAAGTCATTGTTGTACTTACTTGGATAATTGGTTGGACTGCCTTCAGTGTTTGTACGGTCCTCAGCATAATTTCCACTTTTCGGAGTTTTGCTTGTCTGACCATTGTAATTCCTTGGCGTCTTGAGGTCAAACCGGCCAAAACCTGCCTCTGGTCGTTACCTCCACAAGCATTCGCCGCCCCTGTGGATCAGTGGGAAATTTGCCACTATGTGACTAGTTTGATACCAGGATGGTGGTGGGTCCTGATATTGGTATACTCTTAGGTGGGTTTCCTAATGGATACGCCGGACTCGTTCTCAGCTTAGGAGGCCATCGCAGTCCTACACCCAGGAACACCTTTCAGCCACGAGAGGCGATAAACCGTTGGGAAGAAACCATTGTTGTAGTAAGGTAAAATGACTTTGATGGATCTTCACACGCTGTAGCTTAAATAAATTCTTTAATCGGCATATAGCATTCGGAGCATAGCAGTTGAAATGTGTCGGGTTTCATAATGTCCGTCCTATAGTTCGATATTCCAGTTGTGGATAAAGTGAGTAGCATGTAGTTTCACCTGTCCGATTTTCTACCTAACATTTCTTAGCATTTTTTGTTTCGATCTGAAAAGAAATTGATTTCGTTGTGTAGATGACAGAATACCAGAACGTGAGACAACATCAGCTAAATGTGACGCATACAGCGCTTATGAGGAAAAATAAATGGAGTCAAATCAAACTGCTCAGCCATTAGTAATTTGTCGGAAAAGTTATCACGAAAAAGAATCTTCGTAACGACAGTCGATTTACGAACAAGATACTTAAGAAGAAGTAGGTCTCCAAGGTCGATTATCATGCGATTGATTACCCAAGAGGCATCATATTAAAGAATGAAAACGAGCTTTACCTAGTGGAAGCCATTCAAGAGTAATTACTAGAAATCTTCGTAGCTGTCTTTAGATCTGTTTATCGAAAGTAGTGTACAATATTTTTGCGAAGGTTATTATGAATTTACCGTGTTACAGGTCGCTTTTCACTGTACAAATCCGAATCTTTTGGCTTCGGCTAGTACAGATAAATCCATAATTATTTGGGATATTCGCCAACAAAAAACTCATACACGACTGTCAACAAGAGGTTTGTTCTATATATTACAAAAGTTGTTCTGCTTCCATCCACCTCTTTTCTTTCTCTAACACATTTTCCGTCTATTCCTTTTTATCTCGTCCGTTATTCAACATGATGGTGGGCTTCGAAATCACATACAACCGCAGGGTCTAAATCTAGACGTCAACTGAAACATACACAGATTTTTCAAGTGGTTCGAAAGCAGTTTTTATTGTTAAAGCTTTTTCATGAGATCTGTTTTATGTCCTAAGAATGCGTCTCAGTGTTCTTCTTGCTTATTTATTATGTTTAATATTTAATGTAGAACTGTTTGAACTCCACTTGAGTGTATTCTTTCTTTGATAAGCTGATAATCACTTTATTCGGCTAACGTTTTGACGTCTTCGTCTTCATCAGAGCCGATAGTCGAAGTCAATGGTTCACGGCTGTTCGTCTTGATGTAGCGTCTTCATCTTCGTATCGAGTCGGTTCTTCTCCAGTCCAGCGGAGCATCTCTCGAATGAGGCATACTCACCCGGTGGTGCTACAGGACGATGGATTTTGATAACAGTGATTGTCCGGTGGTAATGTTTTTTTTTCAGAACATCCACCCTGTAGAAGTCGGTATGATTAGCTAACAAAGAGAAACTTGAGTAAATCTGGAAATTCTTACACTTTATAAAACCTATTTCATTGTCATATCATATGGATAGGGAAAGAACTGCTAGGTCGAGCATCTTCGACCAGAAGTGCTGCAGATTAGTATGCCTTTGGTGGTCCGTAGATTTCTAAATGTAGTTTAGATATTAAATAGTATTTCAGCTGCTCAATAAACCTCGTATGAAGAGGTGAATTGGAAATTTGTTTCCCTACAGTTGATCGGTGACTTCATTGAGGGCTTCGTTGCGCTGTTCATGTCATTCTCCGTCTTCTATGCAGTTTCACCTTCTTGTCCTTTTTCGTGTTAATTGAATGCCGTAACTGTATGTAGTATGGGTTCTCGTGATAAAGTAATCATCTTTATCAGTTATTCCTCCATCGAGTATGAATTCAGTTGTAACCCTTTTATCTCTTCACAAGCGTGTCCTTTTGAATGTTTCTCATATCTTTTTCAGCACAATTTTTCTTTCTCAGAAAATCAAAGGTTTGGAGAAAGCAGAAGGGATTTTCCGAAGTCGTGTATTCCTTTTTCAATCTGATCGAATAACATAGTCGTCCACTACGATGCGGCAAGAAATATCTCCTCCAAGATGCCCTCGCTCGACCCTCTTTCACTGTGGTCATGATGAGTAGTTGGCATTAGAGCTGTACTTCCATGGTTCATTTATGCTTATGTTGATAAACCCACTTCTTGGTCGACCAGTTTGGTAGGATTATGTTTGAGAAACTATTGTGTTGCCAATCTGATTCTTCGGGCCTAGTTATCTTTTCTTTTTGTTTTTTTCGTTGTTTTCGCATACGAGAGAATCACTGTAGTTATCCTAGTTTTTCAGCAGGTTAAAAATGTTTAATATACGCAAAAGGATAATATTTTTGGAAAACTTATAGAGCACATTCGGCATGGAAATGGGATGATAGTTACCAAGAAATCATCAGTCATCCCTCTGGGGTAGGATGACAGTGGGAGTTAATGAGGCATAGCAAGGACTCTGAGCGCATCATCTAACCCCATCTGCGTTGTAGAGTGGGCGCCTGGTCTCGGGAGACGTGCAGCATGGTGACTAACTCATTTCGACAAGGCTGTCCACGAACATTGGTCATAAATTATCAGAGCGGTTTTTTGGTAGCTGAGGACCTCCAGATCTGAGATATAAGTCAATTAAAACTGTCACAGTATGGAGAGCTGAAAGTTCTGAATCGTCACTTCCTTATAATGGCGAAAGTCAGCTAATGGTAGTTTTTTTTTAATTGAAGATCGAAGAGCTAACTGCAGAATGGCTGTGTAATGAAAAATATTTGGTATGAGTCTACAGAACGCGAGACAGATGGGTCCACATGGTGCCGAAAACTGTTGGTCCCTTGTTTAGACTGACCTAAACCATAAAGTCTCTAGATTTTCATTTGTGGTAGACGTCACCTTTATGACTTTTAATGGGTTTTTACCATCTTATGACTGATAACTCTAAAAAAGGCACGAAAATGGCCACTCTCAACACTCTGTTGTCTCATTGGAATGTTCGACGCCTTACTTTAGATCATCGTTGTAAGTAATGCACCATTGAAATGTTTTTGGTGGATTCATTTAACTTTCAAAGTTGCTGGATGCTCACATTATAGCAGCAAATTTGTATGTGACATGGTCCCCGTGTGGGCGATACTTAGTATACGGTGATAAGGAAGATCGACTTCATGTGATAGACGGAAGAACTTTGAGCACTTTAAAGGTCAGCTTACTTGTATTCTATGATCTTATCAGTAAACTTGAGAACTAATTCATAGTTATCATGCTTTCTCTGTAGTCGTATGAATCGAAAACGGAGATGAATGAATTCGTCTATCATCCAAGCGGCAAATACTTATTTGTGGCTACAGGACAAGGAAGAGTTGAGATATTCAAGTTCGTTTATTTTCATATGACTATCAGTTTTTTATATACTTTTCCTAAATTAAGAATTCTACAGACTCATGTTCCTTTAGGAGCAGGTGAAAGCTATTTTTTCCAAGTTAATAACAGTTTATCTGAGCCATTATAACCATAATGATGCTGAGATATTTGCAAAACTCTAGACCCTGGTGTTTGTGGTTGGGAACGAACATGCTGTTACCCTTTCCGGGGACTAACACGTTCACCACCGCACCATGCGAGTCCTTTGTTTCGCCTTTCAGCTCTGTAATTATACATGTTTTACTGTAGAAATGAAATCGAAGGATCTGTACAATACAAGTCATACGTTGCGGTGTCCAGATACTTCGTATTTTGTGTTATTATTCATATTGTCCTCATTTGTCATGAAATTTCTTACTGCATTACAGAATGCCAGATCTTGAAATAGTTCGAACTGTAGCAGCCCATTCGGGTCAGTCAAACTGTGTAGCTCTAGCTGTATCTCCCGATGGTAGACGTGTTGCTGTTGGAGCATCTGATGCGTTGTGTTCTATTTGGAGCATCGACGAGATGATTTGTGAGAGAAATCTAGGCAGGTAGGAATTTTTGAAGTTGGAGACTGGTATAGCAAGTGTTTTACCCTGTTATTTGAGGTTGGACTATCCTGTGCGAGCTGTAGCGTTCACTTACGACAGTCAATTAATAGCCACTGGAAGTGAAGATCACTGCATTGACATAGCATTTGTGAACGACGGCTCCAGGTTCGTTCAAGTATTTATCGGTTTTCTGAGGAAAACTGTGCAATATTGGAAAATCTCGCGAAATGGAACCGAATCGTAACGGAGACGTTTTCGATTACTTTCAAATCTTGCAATCCGATATGGCTGGGTTTCCAGTCATTTGTGGAGACTAGCGTGAATAGACGCTATCTTATTTTGTTTCCGACCGATTACTTTACTCTATAAGCTTTTTGGGAGTACACAGTCGTCATTACCAAGAAAGAGTTTTTAAGGAATTACTCCTCACATTGCCTCCTCACAGTGGCGTGCTGTGGTGAACACGTGTTTTTCTCGAAAACAGACATTATTCTGACACATATATAGTATAGTTAGTTCTATAATCCAAATCACAGTAACAAACGTTTCCCAATTCTTTGCAAGCGCACCGTAAGTCAGCCGTACCGTAATCAAGCAGCGGCTGTTACAGCGGCCATATGAATCACTCACTATAAGTCTTTCATGATTGATCCAGTTCTGTCATGGTTATAGTCTCATATTCTGTTCCTTATCTATGTTGAACTTGGCCGGCTTGTCATTTTCATGGATGAGTGATATGCGTAAGAAGCACTGTTACACTTTTTTAATCAATCAGTGAATCGATACCTTTCTTACCAAAACTGCTGTAAATTACGTCGGCCAAGGAAAGCTATTCCATATGCTTTGCGGTTTATAGAAACTTTTTTCGCGCTTGTATTCATCCTGCCATACAGCACTGCGTGCAGTGAGGGTATTAGGATATCTCCTAGCACAGAGAACGCTGTTGGTGGAGTGGGTAAAAGGATAAAGGATAAAGCTCTCGGCTTTGACCTATCTCTGAGGAATGCGCCATGCTTTCTAGTTCATTAAGCATCGCTGGAGATGATGAATGCATATCTGCCTTTTACAATGATTCGTGGAGGCTTACCGATGTATCAAGCCAGTGATGCTATCCTCCCAGACAAGTCTGGTACCAATTTGCCGACCCCGGAGCGATAGTGGGCTTTGTGGATCTTAGGAACTGGGACCGATCCCATCATATGTATTCCTGGACGCCTGCGACCACTACTCTACACACGTCTCAATGGAGAGGGTACTAAGATAATGTTTCGCTAGCTTAAGTATTGCGTGTTCGCGAGACTCCTTCTGGCGAATAAAGTCTTCCTAATAGGGAGCAGATCAGCAAATGTAAATTGATGCCTCATAATAAGAGCGGTGAAAAATTGTTGGTTGGGCGTGTTTCTTGGTGAAATACTTGAACATATGCTGAAGTTGCACAAAAACCAATTTGGAAAGGAAGGTTTGACTTGCATTAATGCGTCATTTTCGATTTTCCTCTTTCTACTTTTCTACTGAGGCATGTTAACATCGTCAATCAAGTATTCATTCTTTATATCAGTTTACGTTTTCGGGCGTTGTTAGACGAGATCGCATCTTATTTAGGGTGCATGAGATTCGTTTAGAAGGCGAAGTGTACTCTGTAGCCTGGCATCCTCAGCAGCTGATACTGGCGTTTGCATCCTCGGGTGATCCACGTGAACGGGACAGTTTTGGCGTACGACTGTTTGGTTACACCAGCTGAACGTGATCCACTTAATAAAGATGCTCATGTCCATTAATCCTCATTGAATATTTAAGTATTTCCAAGATTGCGAAAGACAAAAACCTCTTGGATTTCAGTAATTGAAGTGGTCACACGCAAAGTTGAAGCTTAACGGGAGAAGCTAACTTTTTAAGCATTGAATGGTAATAGCACTCATCTGAATACTTGGCTTTAGTTGTATATCAGTGTTCGAATAAAGCAGGACTCTTATTGATGAGTTTCTTATGAAAACACTCGAAGAAAATATTGAAAAACAGGGAAGCTGGGAGTGAAATATCGAGATGTATATCGTTTTGAAATTCAGATATTTAAGTCATAGGCTCGAAATGAGTTACTCTTAGTGTGGAACTAAAAAGCAAAAGAAGTTATATCCATAGTTATTGGCTGTGTCCTTAACTGTGGTGAGGTGTCCTGATTAGGATCCGGGAACTGATCATTTTGATACACTACTGAAGCTAGGCTTGAAGTGACCTCCAATTCATGTCATTGATATGATGAGCACTACCTGGCAGCTTCCCTTTCAGTTCTTTTTTGATTGAGATTAAGAATAGCAATCGCAAACCCTCCAATGGGGTGCCTTTGACGGTGAGAAATCTTGCTCGTCAGTTCGTACTCTCACTTAACCACTAACCCTCTATCGTCTCACTAGGGAACTATGTTGTAAACTGTTTATTTATAAAATTCTTTTGTTCAGTTATTTCACTGTGGTGAACATTACGACTCGGCCAAAACCAATACCTTGCTTCCAATTCATTTCAATACGTGGTTGATTTACATCTTTATTGGCTGAATCGTGTGAAGGCGTAGAAGTATCGATATTTATGAATTTAGGAATTTTGCACCCTTATGATTCATTCATAGTTTGAAATTATACAACTGGTGGGTGGTTAGCGTAATGGTATTTGTATCGTTTATCATGGGCACGGCGCTACTTATACCACGCCACAAACTCACCAAGTCTTTCATCCCTTCGAGGTTGAGAAATAGGTCCTTGTGTTGTTTGAACCTAATCCACTCCTTCAAATTTACGCAGGAATGCTCTAGCGCAGCTATCCCAAGGCTTGAGGGAAAATCGACTCGACCAGTATTTAACGACATTTATAGGGAAGACAACAATCTTCGAGCGGCAGCTAAACTCACACGTGAAAAGTTCATAGATTTTCGTGGACGATGAATACGCGGAAACAAATAGGTTGCAAGAACTGCTGCGATCCGCATAGCAGATATGAAGATAGATCATGTGAGTAATGGAATGGATTAGAGTTAAATTTGGGTTTCGTCGATGATGTTACTAGAACACACTGCATGAGCTCTTTAGGCTCTGAAGAAGGATAAATTTGCTGAGCTACTAGGTGCTATGGAAGAAAAGCCATTTTACTAACGATGTATCATTTGATCTGTGACGAGACCAACAAGCAAAAACGATTAAAGCGATTTCAGTGTACCGCGACAGGATTGGATCAGGCAGCAAAAAAGGTTGGACGGTGATCCAACTTTACTGATTAATAGGAAAGCATTCCCAGTAGTCTACCATCTAATCTGGCGAGTGGGGTTGTGTTTCTGGTTGTACTGTTGGCGCCCATCCAATGGCAAGATCACCGGAGTTGAAGTATAATGTTCAAGATTTCTATCTGGTGGTTCTGCTAAATGTAAAGCTATGTGGCACAAAGAACGGCGAGTTCCTCATAACCACCTCCTTGTCAAAACGGTAAAATAAAGAGGCACCGTGTCAAAAGTTCGATTCTTTTCAAGTGATTTGCGCACAGAACCCATCGGGCACGCTCACATCCTACGAGAACAAATGAAATTTATTGGTATCCGCTTCAGTTATTCGATAACTTGACACGACTCCAAGTGACGAACCCTGCAAGGGTACCTTAGTGATGTTGGTGTTTACTGAACGTAGGTCTTGGGGAATGGCGAAAACATCAGTTATGATTTACATCACGTTCTTCCATGTTCCAAATGATTAGATGTTATCCAAACATATCAACGTGTGCAGGAAGATATGGTGATATGAGCTCTATTCTGATAACTGATAGGAGTGGGCGAGATATGAACGATCATCAGTGACCACTATTGTGTGTTGTGCTTCGGTGGATATCGGTGGACGAAATGGTGAGTCTAGGATGTAGTGTAGTGTAACGAAACAGGCGTTAAGAGAATCCTCTTTAATGGTTCTAGAGGACCATTCACGCAAAACTTTTTCATTATTTTGTACAGGAGTCAACGGAAGAAAATTTCGAAGACGGAAATGTGCAGAGTTTATTCGATGAAGTTGACAATCTCCTAAACAATGGACATTGTCTAGAAGCCTATAACCTTCTGGAAGCTGTATGTCATTTGAAATTTCCCACCTGTTAAAAATGCAAACTTTTATTAGACTCCGTTAATTTTAAGAGTGCCCCTTTACCAGCTGAGAAAATGGGATGGTTGTATCGAGCCGCTCTGGCCTGCTACAATAAAGGATGCTCAGAAGACGTTGGGAACTGTCGACTTCAATGGCTTGAAAAATGTAGGTTTGGGACCTCCTGATAAGGGTTAAATAACGAAAGGGCCTGTAGTGCGGTGAGTACAACGCGTAGTGTTCTGACAGATTTCTTGTTAGTTCTATAAGTGCCACTCCATTGTGAATATCTCGATTCTTTGTGCAGAAAAGTCGATAAGCACTTAAAGAACGGTCGACTATACTGTACTTGTTTGCTACCATAACATATCACCACTTATCAAGACATTCGGAATAAAGAACACATGTAAAGTTTTAATGATTGCTTGAAAAGCAACTATGATTATTCTACCACCATTTTCACTTGATGGCTGTCATAATTCTTCTTCAATGCTGGGCGCGTGTGGCGCAGTGATTGGAGATGCCCTGCATCACATACGTGGAACCGATTCTCGCACCCATGCCCCACCAAGCCTTCCATCCCCCCCGGGGTCGGCAAATTAGTACCAGACTTGTCTGGGAGGGTATCAGCACTGGCTCGATACATCGGTAGGCCACTGCGAGTCGTTGTAAAGACCAGATATCCATTTAACCACCTCCAAACGATGCTTAGTAAAGTCGAATGCATGGCGCATCCCTCATGGATTGATCAACACCGAGAGCTTCATCCTATATTTTTTTTAATCATATCCTACCACGAAGAAGTAATAGGTGCTGAACCTAATTACTTACTTGGATAGCTCTTCTTCACTGGAACTCAGTTGTCGTCCACGGTGGTGTCTGCGAGGTCCGTTCTGTAGTCCTGAAATCTTTTACATCTGCGAGTGCAGATGGTTGACGTTAGCTACGAACACGTCTAGCAATCGTTTCGATGGTCTTCCAAAAAGACGCTTGCATTATCTTGGAGTCTACTCCACTGTTCCTCTCGTCCATCTGTCATCTGTTCTTCTCATTATGTGACTGTCCCATTTTGATTCGCTATTGATGCATTTTTTTCTGGATCACGACGATGGTGCAGGTTTCGAGTATCTGTGATGGCGCATTCCAACTAAACGTTGTGCGTGCCGGTTAAATTTCAGAATCCATCGTTCAAATTTTCGCGGGCGTTGCGCAGTTTTCTTGACTTTGTTGAAGTATCACCCACACTTCTGCAGAGCGCTGGGAGCACTGTCGAGGCGAAAAGGTCAGCACAGAATTTCGGGTGCCTCAGTTTCCAGTAGCTTCTTTTGTCCGATGCCAAGCTGCTGTGCTTCTGCTTTCTAATTCTTTCTTCGTATCATTCTCCATGTTCATTGAATGCCCGAGATATATGTACGAGGTGGTCTATGCAATCAAAGAATTCGATTCGATTTGTTCACCCTCGCACCATAGATTCTTCATGAACTTGGTTTTCGTCCCATTTATCCGAAGTCCAATCTTTTTTTCCGCTTCGTTGAGTTCATTGAGTATCGTCTCTGCTCCACTAATATTCCTCGAAAGGATAACGATGTTATCCACGAAAAGAAGATTTGATGAGAATATTCTATCAATACGTAGGCCTGTCTCACCCCAATCGAGTGACTTCATTATCCGCTGCAATGCGGGACTAAACAGCTTTGGAGATATTGTGTCGCGTTGTAGAACCACTTTTTTACGGGTATGGTAAGAGATCGGTGGGAAAGAAAAAAGTCATCTAGTGTTCATGTATAAGACTGGTTAACTCCTTGGTCAACGAGCGTTGATGGTATTTCATTCGTTTCGTCGCTGTGAAACGGTTTCTCGTAGTCGATAAAGGTTATGACAAGGGAAAGATAATATTTCTCATCCTGCTTGCTCACCTAATTCCATCTCATCCAAGGTCTTCGATATGCGTAAAAGGATAATCTCCGTAAATAGCTTGTAGAATACACTTAACAAGCGTACTATACGGTAGTTACGAAGATCCCTTTGGTCATCCATGATAACCGTGCGCGAGGTTCTCTACTGGTCTGGGATTTTCTCTTTCTGAAGGTAATTTGACACGTGAGTTGCAAGAAGTACATATAAATTGCGGCAATTAGTTCCAAGGCAATCGTGGTAGTACTATCTGGTCTTGGAGCTGTGCATCTGTTCACACTTTTTATCAAAGCTCAAAGATTGGGATAGAACCTTTTCATAATCAATTCCATGTCATGGTGAGATTTAATGGCAGTCCCATTTTCGTTCATCACGGTGGATAGCAGAACATTGTAATCGGAAAAATCCTAAAGGCACTTCTTCGGACTGGATAATTTTTGTGTTGTTTCCAATAATTTTTTGCTTATATCGATGGAAATCCTACTGCAAAGATCTGCAGCTGGCCTTTATTATCTGCCGTGTCTCCTGTGTTGCACTAGGATCAAGCTTCAGTTTCTTCATCTTTTAGAGCAACTCTTTAGTGGTAGTGGAGATGCGGTATGAACTACTTTGAGGAACTGAGGCGAGTTCACCACAAATTCTAAGTCCTTCAGCAGAGAGCATACAGTCCTCGGCCAGGTTTTCATCTATCTGCCAGTCATACATGGAGAGTATTTTATTGAGAATATCCTCCTTGTACACGACTTGTTTCGTCTTTTTTTTTCGGACGATGACAGAAATTCTTTTCCAATTTATGATTGAATCGGATCTTTGCACACAGAAGGCGGTAATCAGATCCAGTACGAAGTCCAGGTATCGATGAGGTGTCAAAGAGGTACTATTTTCTGTTCGCGAGAATATGATCGATCTCCGCGTGAGTCGTGCTCTTAACAGGCCACCATTCCCATCTGCGATTTTCTTGCTTTTCGAAAAATGAATTCTCATGGCGTGCTGCGGTCAGGGATCCTACAAGACAGTATCCATTCTCATTTCGTTCTTCTTTTTCGAATTTCCCTTTCCCATACTCATTTTCGTTAGCCGTTCCTAATCTGGAGTTGAAGTCTCCAACAACGAATTTATAGAAAACTTCTCGTTGCGGCTTACCTTTTCTGACTGGTTGTAAAACGCGTCCAGTTTGCTCTCATCAGCTGGACTAGTTGATGAGTAGCAGTTGGTGATAGTGACTTTCTATTGACGCGCAAGTTGGAGATGAGGAATGTCCAAGCGCAGTTATAGGATTTCGTATGAGGTGACGAGATGAGAAATGGATAGGTGTACGACAAAGCCAACGCAGTCAACACTTCGTAACCGAAATTTCAATCCACGAGTGATAAGTATTCAGTTATCTAGTTGGCGAATGTCGGTCCTCCTGCGTTTCGTGTCTTGTAGGGCGATCACAAGAAATTTTTTGCGACAAGCAGCCACAAGAAGAGCGTAAGGGCTGGCGTCTAACGAGACTGCTATAATATTATAGGTGCTGAGGATGGACCAGTTTTCAGGGCATGTCGTGAGCGTGGTCGTTCTGTTCGTTTGTTCTGTCCAACTCGAAATTTGATCGCCTCTTACCAATTATCCCACCACCCCGCGTCGTAGACGGAACCTGCCAGTGTGCGGGGTACTAAAACTGGAACTTTGCTGGTTTAGCCAATGTGGTTCCCTGGAGTCCCGAGGACAGCTTCGCCAAAGTCAGTCCAGCAGAAGCTTTTCTCACATCGTCACCACCTTAGGCAGTCGCCGCCCTTGTGGATTAGAGAGGGATTTGCCACCCAGCAACTAGTTTGACACCGGGACGGTGGGGATTTCTGTTGTCGGATTATTTTAGATAGGCTTGCGGATGGGGAAGTCAGATCCATTCTCAACTTGGAGACCCGGCTAGAGAGATGAACCTCCTGTTGTGCATCACATCCCGACACCCGTGAACCCTCACAGCCACACTGAGGCGCTAAACCATTTAGAGGACAGTAAATAAAAATTGAGACATTGTGATTTTGACCGCAGTTTTAGCTTAATTTGGTTCGACGTCGATACTTGCTCGACGGGTGATTGCCAATAGTACTGATAGGCAGTAAAAGATGGCTTGAGAGGAAGGCAAAGCAAGTGGCGCGTGTTCCGATTTGAATATGACTTCGGTTACAGCCTGAGGGTTTGCCTTGTTCGTGAATCTTGTAAGGCATCGCTGGCCATTTCAACAATGCGTGGACTACAGAAGTACGTACAGTTGACCTAGTTCTCTATCAAGCTACAAGAAAGCATGTACGATTATAACGGTTAAAGTTATACAGTAACGAAATATACTATCCAGCAAAGAGTTTTCTTGCCTTCAATTCTGAATATAGTCAATTGTTTTTACCAACGACGAGAAATATTACCTGATCGTTCCTTGACTCTCATGAATTCTTCAGCTGTAAGCCATAATGCTGAAGGTGCCGAAGTCTCCTTTTTCAATGAATAATTCAGCTGTTGGTGTATGTGTTACATAGTACATAGCGCTTCGGTGTCGTAAAGTCGTAGGTCTCTTCATCAAAATTTCGACCAGTAAAATGGACTGTGCTGTGTGTGATTCAGAAGTTTACTGCACAGTTTTCTAAGTGCAATATTGGTCCTGAAATTTAGCCGAACACCTGCTCCATCATCCGCGGAGGAAGCGCTTCTTATCGAAGTAGCTGCTTCACTGACCCTTTGCTTCCACAGCCTGCTTGAGTATAGTGATTAAGGCAGTGTTGGCTCAGCAATTAGTTTAGGATGTGGACTCGTGTGCTAGTTTTTTTCGCATTTCTCGCATGAGAGTGCTAAATCCGAACTAGTCTGCTAAGCATGTAGGACAACTTGCGCCTAAAGAAGGATCTGCGGTGGCTGTACTTCCGCGTTCGAAGGAGAGATGCGAAATGGTTTTTGGTTTTGGAGCTGTGTTGGTTTTCCAAACCGAAAGTTCAATAGATACCTATGCTGGAATAGCTGTAGTTTTCGGATAGTTCCAGTTTTCTGTAAAGAATGTTAGAGTATCATGCCTGTGGAGTGCTGTACGCCGCAACAAGTTTGAAAGGTACTGGCAGTTATCATGTTATGTCGCATAATTCTCACCTATTTGTCCTTGTTGATGAACTCAGATATCACCATTTCAACTCTAACGACCGTGCCGATGATAAAGATACTCGATATCCCTTTTCTAACTAACCTATAGAATAACTTTTTGGTTTACTGGATCAAGAAGTGCACTTCATTAACGTTTTCCATTGTCGAGTGTTACTTAGGAAACATTCAGTGCATGTTTACACAGGTCTTTTTTCAAACACCTACTTGTAGAGGCATGTCTTGTACCAGAAAATGTGAACATTTGTAACTCAGAGAGTCCTAGTTCACAATCCGTTCTTCATCATTTATCTATGCTCTATTTCATATCCACTAAAGACTACCTTCCTTTCATTGTGGACTACCACTCAGTGCTTCGAGAACATTTCTTATCTAGTACTAATAGAGCTACTCGACACTCGGACGGACATTAACCATATCCGATATCATTAGTTTTGCCACCATATCAGTATGTTTTCTGTCACCTGTTTCAGACTCCGGGGTGAAAGTAATGAACTTCACGTTATGTTTCTGGGCGCCATAACTACGTACCTGTTTTTCATAGGCCATAAATGATCTGAAATTGAGTCTTTACAATGTTTAGCTCACGACTACGCTCTAGAAGCGCACGAGTTGGAGCCTGCGGATGTCGAGGTGCTGTCGGTTCTGTGTTCATCCACAGGAAAATTAGCCGAGGATAGTAGCACGGTAGATAAAGTCAAATACGGTTTCGAATTTCAGGTACGTAAGCCATTACTCACTACTATTTCATAGCTCTAATAGACACATAGGGCTCGTATCAGCACCCATAAATATCTTAACATATCTTCGTCATCAAGTTCCTTTTAGACAGAATTCAACAAAGACATAAAGCAGGTAACAGATGATCTCTACGACCTGAAGAAAAATGACTTTTCCAAAAGAACTGAATGTCGTAGTTGGTTTTTTTGGTCACGATCAAGGATAAAGAAATTAGTTCGGGTCAGCTGTCACATCGAATAATCTCCAGTTCGAGAGTGAATACCTGACTTCGTACGGATTTGCCACGCAGGATTTCTTCGTTATCAGATCAAATCTCAAGCTTGTGTTCTTAAACCCTTTATAAAAATAATACCACAGTAATGAGGATATGATGATGTCAGGAAATTTAAACCATGCAAGCACCAAGACGACATCGAGACCAACAAGTAAGAATGCACCAGAGCAGGAAGTTGCGTCTGTAGTTTCTACAATAGACTATAGATTTAATTTGAGAAAGAAGCTCCACATATAATACAGAGTGACCAGAGGTCCTTGAGGTAAGGAGCAAGTGGTAGTGCGGGAAGAAGTGAAGCCAAATGTGTGTTAGCGAATGTAACTTGTGTAACAGAGTAGAGAAGTAATATGAAGAAGAACTGTGGCAAAGAATAATTGAGATATCGGTGATTGAAGCGGGAACGGCATGTGAAATAAGAAGACAAGAGGATGGAGGCTGTAAAAGCACTACTTGAGCGGATTGAGGAATGACTAATGATGCTGGTTATATTCTTTCTATGATGGGCGATGCTTTGATAGAAGAAACTAGAACTAGTGCTCAAAAGGAGATTCTAGAAAGTTTCTCAGTTAGTTCAAGTTAACAGAGCTGCTTATACAGACTTTTAATGTGAAGGCGATGCAATAGCATGCATCCAAAGTTCATGTGCAAGCAATAAATAGCGTTTACAGTAAGTTCTTGTGGAAGCGATAAAAGTCAACATAACATTAACCGATGGGTGTAACTTCCACAGTCATTGCTGATAATTTTCACTTATGCTGCTGTTGTTACATCATATCGTTGTTTAGAAATATCTTGACGAAGCCATTGCCATTTATGCCGATTCGTACGAGTTTCTGCACATGAGAGGACGATTTCAGTACCAAGTACTGTGGTAGCTAAACCGACCAGTCATTTTCTTCCTTAAGTCAAATGTTTAAGTTAAAATTCACTTAGGTTTCTACGCTTGATCCTGTGGAGAAGGCAATGGCAAGAGCTCTTGGAAGCCTTCCGGATGTAAGCTTGACAGGCGCCCTCGAAGATCTGCTTGCGGTTTGTCTTCCAACGGCAAACTAGGATTAGAAACAGAACGTTTTTTTTTTAGAAAAAACTGCTAGAAACAACAGAAGAGATCCATGACCACCTCTAAAATGTCTTCTCTTCATGCAAGAATTTACTTTTTTAGGCATATGATGTCTCACCAGATGAAATTGAAAATATTTTCTTCATAGGAAAAACCTATGACGCTATGGGCGACTACCCTAATGCAAAGATCTATCTAGAAAAGGTATTATTTAACAAGCAAATACAGCTCTAATGCGGTTTTATAATAGTCCAATTAAGGTGCTGACAATGTCAAGAGATCCGGAATGTGTGGTGGAACGTGAATATGTGGACGAGGCGACCCAAATCCTTGAAAGCACAAAGTACCTCTAGGCAGTTGGATTTTCTTTAATAGCAAGTAATAAAACGCCTCCTTGTCCGTGTTCCACTACAATTAATGAAAGTGGCATGTCAGAAAGATGTGTCTTCACCTCTTACAAAGACGAAAAAATACATTGGTAAACAATCAAAACTTTGTTTGATGGTACCCCAAGCTCAACGGGGGATACATGCAGAACGTTGAAGTGAGTGTAAACCAGGGTTTCTGATCCAATATTAAGGTATTCCTTGTGCAGTAAAATGTATTATTATGTAGGACCTATATGATTAAGATTTGTAAGTCTCTAAAACTGAGTTAAGATCACCTGAATCTCTTGTCCTTCCTCTAATCGTCCACTGTCTCGAACGGGTGCCAGTGAAGTATCAATTTATCACTGTTGCGATCTAGAAAAGCATTGTGGGTTCTGCTAGGCCTAAGCACTAAGCATCAGGTCTTTCTTCTAGGGTATTAGTTAGGAAATTTGGGCACTGGGTCTGCGAACTTCCTGCTATGAATTTCACATCTCGGGGAATCCAGTCGCTAACGGCTCTTGTCCATGGGCTATCGTTCAGACGCATCGCGTATCCAGCCACATGATTTTCGACGGTTCAGCGTACAGAAGGGTATACTCTTACCATCGGGCATTCGACTATGCGTTATATAACGCAGAGTGGTCTATTGTGCTGATTACGTATCAATCGTTTTTCTGCGCGTATGTTAACCCAGGAAGAATCGTAATTTTGGAAGAGCAGTCGCGGAATTTGGTGCTCTTTGTGTATTTAACTACATTCTTGGTGCCCCGGAATGCTCCTGATCGGCGTGCTTCTCCTGCTCAGCAGCTCTGGGGCTAATTCGTTCACCACTTGACTTCAAAAGACAGATGCACGTAGCTGTAACGATATTCATTAGGCTAAGCTTGAAAGGAGTTGAGGACCAACTCGCTTCACTTGGATACCAGCCAGGTGTTATAAGCACGACCATCAACAAAGAATTACTGCTGGTTGTCGGCTTTTACTTCCAAATATCCTACTTTCGTTTCCAGTTGACGTTCTAGAGAGGAGTTATAAATATTTTTGGCAATATGGTATCGTTTTATAGGACACATTTTTATAATTCAATGTTAATACCGTCATAGAGTGGTGATATTCTTGTTGTAAGGCCGCTGTTTAGCACTTATAGATCTTAACAGAGTTCGAGTGGGACAGATCGGTCTCTAATTCATTGTTTTCTTGATGAGAAAATAAGAGGTCGTCGTTAGAGTCACTCATCAGCCATTCAGAGTCATTCATTCAAAATAGTGTCGACGGTTGCGCCTTCTTGAGAGCCTGAAAGTGTCGAGGAGATTGGATTATACTCACCCAAACACCTCTATAAGAAGGAAAAGAAAAAGATGAAAGCAAGATTTTAATCGCATTGGAAGCAAAATGGTTTCATCGCACACTTACTGCTTTCTATAAGTCTTCGACTTAGTATTTCATGCGGAGATCATCCGCGCAGAGTTCACAGGGTAATATGCCCCTCTTATATTAGAATAACAATCTTAAATAATGTATGAGATCATGAGGAATAACGAAGCATTCCTACTTGCTTATCGCTTCCGGATTCTCGAGATTCCTTAGGAATTCTTCGAGAGTTTTGCACGCCCAAGTTTTCGACCCCTGTGCGAGGATGGTGACTCCTATTTCAGCATCATTCGCGTTACATTTATGCCCTATTCACGCCTCGTGGGATACCTGGTTCAACTTCAAGTTTACTGTGTGGGTCCTTCATTTCACCTGTCTGCCAGCTTGTTCTATCGATCAGTGCCATCAACAATCACCCGTCAGCGGAATTGATCTGGGGAGCCCAAATCGGCATTGAGCTCAGTTAAGCTGAGGCAGCAGTTGAAATGACAATGCTAAATTTCTGTTTGCTGCCTATTACAATAATTTGATTGCTAATGACACTGATCGATAGAACTAGCTGAGAGACAGGCGAAACTATGAACCCGCATGGTGTGGTGGTGAACGCATCAGCCCCGGAAAGAGTAGTAGCATGTTCGTTTCCCACCGCACATACCTCCGATGCGGAGTTTTGCAAATGTCTCAGCATCGTTATGGTTGTATTTCACAACATACCCTGCGTAGAAAATTGTAGTAGGCAGCAAATAAAGAGTTAGCTTTGCATTTTCTATACCATCCGGAGGTGGATCAGTTCAGGCATTCCTTTACGAGGGCCATAAGCTGTTGAATCGAAAAGATACGCAGCCATGTTTACTGCTCCATCCTGCTGCACAGGGAGAGCTCATGGATGTTTTGCATTGAGGAGACATTCGACATGGTAGTATAAGGGGCAATAAAGTCGAAGGACTCCATCATCTACGCGCTGTTAGGACGTTCGTTACGTAGACGATCCAAGAGCACTAGGACATTCAGAGGGTTGGGGTGTGATGTGCTTTAACAACTGGTTAAGTAATAGTGTTAAAAACCATGTTATACTTCCCGACAGCCAGCCAACACACCCAGTGATAGGTCTAACGTTAAATAGCGATGGATGTGTAGATCGTCAGTGGATACAAATTATGAGTTTCGATAAGAAACTACGAAACCAGATATGCTAGTAATTCAATTTAAATGACCAACCTAAATATTCCAGGCTTTTTCAGTTATTCGAAAAAATTTATTGTCAATGGATTACGGAAACGACTATTGTGCTGAAATCTATGAACTTAAGGAAGTTACTAGGAAGAAATTCGTCGGTCCGAACTAACGACCAACCAAAAACCTTCCGAGTTTTCTATGTTTCAATAAAATTCCTGGTGAATAGCTGACAAGATTATTTCAGTGCATTCTAAAAACTTTCAGAACTCCGTGAGAGGAAATGAGATTTAGCTGTCCGATTTAACGACCAATCAAAGTAACCCATCCGAGTTTTTCCACTTTCCCGCAATATTTCTCGTCAATAGGTCACAAAATCGGTAACTGCGCTTGTTTCCAAGCGTTTTTTTCGACTTTGCCACTAATAATAGGAAAATTGGGGCAGACTTTGCCCAAACTGTCCTCGGTATTCCAAGGAGCCACAATGNAAAAACCTTCCGAGTTTTCTATGTTTCAATAAAATTCCTGGTGAATAGCTGACAAGATTATTTCAGTGCATTCTAAAAACTTTCAGAACTCCGTGAGAGGAAATGAGATTTAGCTGTCCGATTTAACGACCAATCAAAGTAACCCATCCGAGTTTTTCCACTTTCCCGCAATATTTCTCGTCAATAGGTCACAAAATCGGTAACTGCGCTTGTTTCCAAGCGTTTTTTTCGACTTTGCCACTAATAATAGGAAAATTGGGGCAGACTTTGCCCAAACTGTCCTCGGTATTCCAAGGAGCCACAATGACTTAACCAGCGAATCTCCGAAAAATAGTGATTATGCTGGGGCCCGCACAACTAGTGAGGACGGGCCGTTCAAGTATCAAGTATCAACAGGAACATTACAGCAGCTTTAGCACACATTACTCGTAAATGGCAAACCCGCTCTGAATACGTTGTGCGGTGGCCGAGCACTTGCGCTGCCGACCACGCGTAAACTTACCTGGCTGGGAGGCTCTCACGATCATGAAGGCGGGACCTCCATGGTGAGGCCGCTGCATTGCACTTTAGCAACGGCTGACCCGTGTGGCAACCTCGGGTTGAGGTTAGCCAACAGCTAAATTTTTGCGTGTGGGGCTGCGTTCGCGCGGCCCCGATAGGGGCGTGTTCGGCGGGGCGGTCGGATAGGTGTGCATGTACGAGTATGGAAATAACGGCCGTGTTCGACCTTGAATCAACGTGTAACTCAACAGTGAATGAATATCGTCATATTCAGAATAAACTATTGTGGTCCACAGATGCGTCGCTTTCTTGCTCAGCAATCGCTAGGTATAAATGAAGCAATTACCGTTTCTCACTGCAAAATTGTCACTGTCAAATACAGCATTTACTTAACACAGTCTTGGGTCCTGGTATTGGTTCACTTTTAGCTGGGTTTCTTGATAGAAATGCCAGACTCTTTGTCAACTAGGGAGATCCTGCCATGACGATGAATCTCTCCGCTCTACATTAAGCACGTAAAGAATAATGCGCGGTAATGGATGAAGAAGTCACTCGATGGGGAAAAGAAAGGCTTATGTATTAATGGAAAATTCCTTTCATATTTTTCTTTAGAAAGACACCGCTAAGTGAAGTGGACCATTCAAGAAGTGCGCCTCCACTGGAATCGACTCTATGCGACAACGAACAATCACGTGTTGACAACAACCAGCTGTGGATCATTGACTTGGATCAACCCAGCATTGAAGGAGAAGAAAGCGTTAACCGAATAAGGCTTTTTGTCAACGTGGTGTTATTTTAATAATCCAAGGAAGTATCGATTATTATTGCCGGTCGGGTCGAAGAACATCAAATATTTCTTTTCGCTGACGGCATCCTCCTCAAAAGGACCAATGGAGCAGATCCGATGATCAATGAGCTCAACGAAGCGGAAAAAAAAGATCGGGCTGCGCATGAGTTGGAAGAAAACCCGACCCATGAGAAACCTTTGGTGGGGAGGCGAAGAGATCAAAGTGGATGGACTTTTGATTGGAGGGACCACCTCGTACGCATATTTTGAACCTTCAATGAACATAGAGAATAATACGAAGCAAGGTTTTTTGCTTGAACAGTGTTCCAGCGCTCTGCTATGCAGTAGTTAGGTGGGCCAACCCTTTAAGCACGTAAAGAATAATGCGCGGTACTCAACGAGCGCTTCAACGATGTTCTCTGGATATAGCCAGCACATTCAATATGTAGCCGAAATGCGCAGCTCTGATCCTCGAAATCTGTCCCATCTTCGGGATTGAGGAGAATTTGTATAAATGGCGGAACACAAATGGCTCAATCAAGTAATAACAAGAACAGACGACAGATAAGCGAAGAGAACTGCAGAGTGGACACCTAGACATTGTGGCGTTCCCTAGTGCGACCATCTACACTTTGGTCGGACGTGTTCGTCACTGAAGTTAA